GAAGCAGGGAGGCAGGACTCCTCCTGTGGACAGCCAGTCTCACAACCAACTCTGAGCCCTTTCTTGTTTCCCAGCCTGAATCTTCAGCCTTTTCCTCCCTGCTGACTCAAGTACAACAGTGTTAATACACACGCATCTCTCCTGTTTAAACAAAAGAAGAAAGAAAAGTTGTTCCTTGGCCCTATGTCCCCTCCAGATATCCTCTTCTGCGTCTTCTCTTCCCATTTAACCATGACTATACTCACTGTATCTACCTGCCATTCATTCTCAATTCTAGCCACTGCTCTCCTACCCCGGAAGTGTTTTAAGTGCTGATGCAAAGACCTCTTTGTGAATTGAAGCCCACAGATACTTCTCAGTTGTTATCTCACTTGTCTCTCCTAGCTGTTTGTAACACCGTTGGTTTTTCCCTCCTCAAAACTCTTTTTTGGCTTTTGTGATATTTGTACTCTTTTACTTCCCTCTCCTTCCTCTGACTGACCCTTTTCAGGCTCCTTTGTCATCTCATCTTTGCCTATGCTTCGAATGTTTGTGCTTTTCAGTGTGATCTCAAAAGTCAGCTCTCAGCCAGGTACAGTGGCTCACACCTATAGTCCCAGCACTTTGGGAGGCCAGAGTGGGGGAATTGCCTGAGCCCAGGAGTTCAAGACCAGCCTGGGCAACATAGCCAGACCTTATCTCTACAAAAAATAAAAAATTTAGCAGGGTTTGTTGGTGTACGCCTAAAGTCCCAGCTACTTGGGAGGCTGAGGTAGGAGGATCGCCTAAATACAGGATGAAGAACTCTTGGAGCCTCTCTTTTTTGAACTTTGAACTCTGAAACCATTGGTGGCAGGGTTCAGTCACCAACAGCACAAGTTTCATTGAATTAATTCAAGGGTTGAATTATTTCAAAAACCTTGGTCTCAGAAGATTAAATTTTCATACTGGGGCAGTGGTTCACTTTAAAACACACACACACACAAAACTAAAAACCATTAAAAAAAAATCCTAGGAGCTAAGTGATACCCAAATTACTCTGTGTCTTGAGTTCTGAGATCTATCAGTTCTTGGTATTGTCTAGACCTGCATCTGGAGCTATATTTTAAAGTCATTTAGGCATGTGTTAGGTTTTTGTGAAAACTTTGTTTAAATGTACACTTCATACCACACTGTCAGTTTTGGTCTTAGTAAAAATATAGATTTATAATCCCCGAAAAAAAGAAAGAAAAAAAAGTCGATCTTCTCGATAGGCCAGAAGTGCTCTCTGCAGGTCAAGACTGCAGTAAGCCATGATCATGCTGCTGCATTTCAGCCTGGGTGACTGAGTGAGACCCTGACTCAAAAAAGAAAATAAAAAGTCAGCTATCTTCCCACACAAAACACTTGCCTCATTGGTCTCAACTATATCCAGATCTTCATTGTCTGTTGACATGCTATTGAACCCCAGATTTCTATATCTAACTCAGACATCTCTCTTGGCCCTTCAGACCATTCACATCCAGCTCCCTACAGACATCTCCTCTCGTCTAGATGACCTGCAGGCACCTCAAAACTAGTGTATCCAAAATGGATCTCTTCTCCCTATCCTGCCCCTATACCTGCCTCCTCCAATCCTGTTTAACATCTGTTCTCTGTTGGAGAGAATGGTTCCACTCTCCATTTGGTTCTTTTAAACTAGAAAATTGAATGTTATTCTTCATCCTCACATAATGAAAAAAAGAAGCTTTGACAGTGAAACCGAGTGCCAGCAGGGTACAAGGAGAGGAGGCCTTTAAAGGGGGCTCCTGATCCCTCTCACACTCCATCCGTTGCGAAGTTATTGTCTCTGTCAGCTTCCTATACCTCACTCAGATCCATTCATTTCTCTCCATTCCACTTTTCTTATTCTTAGTCCAGCCTCTGTCATCTTTCCTGGATCACTGCCACATCTTCTTAACCTTCCAACCTTCAGTCTTGTCTTTCAGTCTGATCTCTGACCAGAGTGATCTTTCTGAAAATCAAGTCTGATCATGTATTTTCTGGTGTAAGTCCTTTGGTGACTGGCTGTTGCCATTAAGTTGAAGTGCTTCCTTAACATGACCGCAGGCCTGGCGTGCTCTGCTTCTTATTTGCCTCATCTCCAGCCACTCTCTGGTTCTGGCTGCCCTATGCAACCCTCGTTCCTCCTGTGAGCACTCCTCTGTGTTCTCTGTGCTTTCCTAAATGTTTCATCTGTCTGGACAACTGGTTCCTGTTTGCTTAGCTGATTTGAAGCATTCCTCAGGTCTTGAATTTAGATGCTGCTTCCTCTATGAATCACTTTTGGACCTTGCACATCTGGGTTAGGTGACCTTCCTCCATGCCCCTCATACATAACGCCCTTCCCTTGTCATAGGCTCATCTCGTGGGAACTGCAGTTGTCCACATCTGCTATGGGGTTGGCACCTCTGGGGGCCATGCTCATGGCTGTCTTGTCGTGGAGGTGTGTGAGCCCCCGTACAAACTGCCTTCTCTTCTGACTATGGCTGTGGGTTACCTGAGAAAGGCAGCTCTGCAGTGCCAGTGGGGCCACGCCAGCACCTGCATGTAAGCTGCTTCAGAGTTTAACACTAGCGAAATTGCTTTCTGGATATTTTTGTGTCCTGTGGCTCTGCATCTGTGACCGCAGTGAGAGTGCCCATGCATACCTGTATCTTTCAGTGTGGCTTTGTACTGCAGATGTTGATCTGTAGCCCAGGAGACCCTAACTCGTTTTACCTTCTCTCCTCTAGCCCAGTCTGCGGCAGGTTGGGTTGCTAAAGAACAGTGAGGTATCAGAAAGGAAGAGAACAAGTAGAGAAGAAAGGGTAATCTCTAATCCACAGATTAGTGAGGAAGGCTTTGAACATCCTCAGCCACCTACTCCTGAGTCAAACCAAATTGTTTTATTATGCTGGAATGTCTTAGATAGTGCCTCTGGAATGCCACAGATACTGTACCATAACCTCACCCTCATTCAAAGGCAACGTCTTGACATTTTTGGCATAGTAAAGCTTTATGGGTAACTTGCACTCTTTTAATAGAGTATTTGTGTGTCCTGTGTCTAGGCAAAATGTACTGCATCCTAGGTAGAAGATCCAGATCCATATTTGTATAATATCCTTTGGTAACTGTATCAGGAAGTCCCTGTACAGTTGGATCCTTTTGTGTGAACATATCCAGAACCCTAGTTCAGGAAGTTTCTTCATAAATCCTATGATAATGCCTTATATTTGTATAGAGTTTTATAATTAATTATGTGCAAATCTTAATTAATTATGTTTGACCTTCCAACAACTCTTGAGGTAGGTGGGGCAGGGATTGTCCTCCTTTTTTCAGAGGAGAAAATGTTGGAACAGAAATGGTATAGCCGAGTTCAGGTTCAGAAGGCAGAACCTGGAGTCAGGCCTCAAAATGCCCAGTACTGTGTTCTTTTCGTCATGCTGCATGGCTTTGTGTTCAAGATCATATGTGTACAAACGAGTGTGTTTCATGAGTATGTGGGACAGTTAATCAAACCTTTCCTAAGATCTGTGCCCAATGAGAAATAGATATGCCTCATCATATCAATTTTAGTGCAGATAAAATTGAGCTGAAGATTGTGGCCTGGACACAGCTTAAGAGGGCTTTCTGCTCTGTACCCCCCTGAATTGGCCTCACCCACTTAGTCCCAGATCCAGTAGCAGGTCCCATCCAGCATAGAGGAGTACAGGAGAGGAGAAGAGGACTTGGGCAGGCAGCTGGAGTGAGACAGCTAAGGGGAGTCCAGGCCACGTATGCGTAGTTTCTCCTTGCCTCTTGGGGCCTAGTGGATACATGGAACTGAGGGTGACAGAAGTCTCTCCTCCACACTTCTGAGAGGGCAGGACTTCCTGTTCTGTGGGTTTTATAGAAGATAGAATGGTTCTTCCTGAGGAGTTAATTTACCTGGGGGGAAAAACGGTGAGCTTCTTGAGTGCAGGACCCCTTAGGTCTAACACATCCTGTCCCCCAACAGGTATAGGATAAGGGAAGCATGAGGTCGTGACCGACAAATACTTGTTGACCAAGTTGGGATCTCTACTGTAACATAGAAGTAGCAAAGTATAGATACTGTCAAGGATAGAAAGACCTGATACATAAGTGAATGGTGGTTAAAACCAGGTACACATTACTTCTTTTACCCACCTGAAGATACCTGGCTAGCAACCAAGCCATTTCTGCTGTAGGACCATATCCTGATTATTGCAGGGAATTGTCTGACCCAGTGACTCTTCCCCTAAGGGATGACAGCCATTGATTCCTCCCTGCTCAGAGCTCATTTCTCATATATTCTCTTTTGAGTATATTCAAACACAACTCTTTAAAACTCCTTTCTCCTTTTCTCTTTTTTCCTCATCTTGTTCTCAGATACTGAAGGAAAATTTTTTCTTTCCTATTCCACTCTCTTCTCCAGCTCTCAAACACTGTTCTCCTCCCTCTCTCAAATTTCTGTACTTAACTTGGTAGATAAGTAGAATAGGCTGATGATATTCTTCTGGCATCAAGAGTAACATGACAGTGAATAAAGAATGAGTTCTTAAGTCTTGAAAATATCCAGAAGACCCCTTTAAAAAGTTAGCATATATTAGCTTTTGTGTCTTTTAATGAAGCTTTTGCTGAAGCACCCAGATGAAGAATAAAAGTGCTTTATATTCAATCTTTCTTTTGTTTGTTTAATAGTATTAGTACACTGCTAATATATACTACTCGTTTTCCTTGCAAACAAACTTTCAATAGTGTGTGTCAAGAACAGTCCTTTACAAGCCAACTTATATCCCCAACTGTAATTTGTCATTTTGTGGGAAAATGTGCACTGTTTCCAACTTTAGAATAGCCTGTTGGACACAACCAGTATGTTGTGTGCTCGGTAGTCTTCTTAGAAATCTTATGTGCACAGGGTAATTTGATCCTCTTAGTCAAATTCCAAACATGCTGGGAACAGAAGGGATTTCCTTGCCTCATACATATGACTTAGGACCTTTGATGTGTTTGCCTCACAGGAAAAGCTTTTGATATTACCTATGTGCGCCTCAAGTTCCACACCAGTCGCCCAGAGAGTTTCGCCATTTACAAGCGCACGCGGGAAGATGGGCCCTGGATTCCCTACCAGTACTACAGCGGCTCCTGCCAGAACACCTACTCAAAAGCAAACCGAGGCTTCATCAGGACTGGAGGGGATGAGCAGCAGGCCTTGTGTACTGATGAGTTCAGTGACATCTCTCCCCTCACCGGGGGCAATGTGGCCTTTTCAACCCTCGAAGGAAGGCCCAGTGCCTACAATTTTGACAATAGCCCTGTGCTGCAGGTAGGTGCCCGCAGGCTGGCCTGGAGTCAATTAGTTCTGCCACATACTAGGTGCAGGAAGATCACTGTAGCAGTGATAAGGGGTCCACTTCTGAGATAGGGGTCGGAGCAGAATCTGCATTAGCAACACAACTGGATTTTAATCTGCTTTCCTGCATCTATTAATAGGTAGAGGAGAGTAGTTTTGTGCTTACTTCCTGGTTGATGTGTGTTCTATTCTTATGTTCTGACACATTTGTGAATGTATCCTGGGTTGTAAACGTGACGATTTAAAAAAAAAGTTGAACAGTTTTAGCTTTAGTCTCATACTTGAGGTGGAAATATTTGCTTTTGACCTTTTGAAGAGGATGTTTGACCTAATCTACTCATTTTCTTGAATCTTTTCTTACCTCTTCATTTGACAAAATAAAAAGAATTTTTAAAAAAATGAGCAAGGGGAAAACAAGTAAAATTTAAAGTATTTAAGAGTACCACCTTCCTTCATGATTACACAAGAGAGTTTCGATTGGGTTTGTCTGACACTGTTGCAGATCATTATGAAAACTCTTCACCTGAAAGGACAGGTGTTAGTGGTGGGATATTAATTTGGGTTCCCATGCTCTTGTGGTGGAATTGAGCTTAAGCATCATGATAGAAACCTTTTCCTGTTTAACAATAGAAATAATTAAAAATTTCTTTTTTTCTCATGAACTGTATATATGCATATTCTTTATGCACCATGATATGGAATTTTTCTGTATTGCTTAGATTTCTTTGAGCCTTTCATATGTTGTGTCTGGTTGAATGATTATGGAAAAATTGATGTGTCTCATGCCCTACTCAGCATATTAATACTGAATTGAAGACGCTGCTGTCATGTAGCTGATATCAACATATGAATGGGGACAACCTATATCAATTGACAGACAAGAAATACTGATATGGGTTTTCAATGCTTTTTATTTTATGAAAAGTTGTTGTGATTTCTAAATAGGAAATCACCCATTTTTTCTGGACTTTCTACTCTCTATATTTCTCTCTGGAATTTATTATTATGTTCAAGGGTTATTTTTCTAATTTGGTTGTATGGTTTGGGGCTATGGCAGAAGATGAGACTGTATTTTTCTCTGTGAATTCAGTTCTTCCCTTTCATTGTATTTCCTGATGTTACTGGGAGAGCATGAATTTGAAAGCACTTGGCAAACTCAGTGGTTATGGGGAGTAATGAGTGTGTTTGCCACGGCCTTTCAGAAAAGTGTTTCTTGCATATTCAAAATAAATGGTGAAAAAAATAGCAAATTTTGATAGATGAAAAAGCAGAAGACTGAATGCCCATGGGGAGAAGTGACCTACAAATACTCTTTGAGTTGATCAACTAGCAAATATTTACCAGCTTTGTATCTTCCTACATCAGATTATTGCCTTTTCCTGTCTGGAGAGGCTACAGTGTAGTCAGTAGCAAAGAACAGTGATAGAAAACTGACTGTGACTTTCTGGAAACTTTGTTAACTGTATACCTGGACAGCCTGTTGCAAGCAGTTTCCCTGGCTGTCGGGATTCTCATGTTTGCTGCTATTTATGCTGTAGAAACGAATGAGACTACATGTGGTAAAAGTGCTGTGGACATTTGTATAGACTTGGCCAGTTGTTTTACTTTGCAGTAACATTTATGATGTACCTCTGGATGGAAGAGCTCTGACTCTGGTATTCAGTTGCCACGGAGGTTGAGCTGATTTGACTTTTAGCTGACCTGGCAGTGAGAAGAGAGGATGCCTGCCTCTCTCCCTCTCTCTTCTTAGTTCTCTGTGCCTCGCTCTACAAGCTCAATCTCCCAGGTGGGGAAGGAGTCCTTCCCAGTTTCACTATATATGCATATTACTAAGCATGTGTTGATTTATAATAATAGTAATTAGCATTTATTATAGCCCTTATTATAGTATGCTGTAATGTGATAGGTATTGTTTTGAACCCTTCGCATATATTCGCCCATTTAAACCTTACAGTAACTTTCAAGGTGAATACTTTATTATTTCCATTTTATAGATGAGGAACAATAGAAATAATTAACTTGCCCCAAATCAGTTTTAAGTGGCAGAACTGGGGTTCCAAAGTGTAGCTGCAGGGTGTGCTCCTTTTAAGATCTCATTATGAAGAAAAATGGCTCAGCTTCAACCTTTGAGAAGCTCTTTTTCAAGGAGAACAATGATAAAGATGAAGTCTGTGAAAGATTAATAAGCACTAAACACAGATATGTCTGACTCTCTGCATTACAGACAACTGAAAGATTCTTACCGTTGTGGCTGTGAGTGGGAGTTGTTATTGGAGTTCCAAGTTTGGATACGGTGAAATCATCGTCTCTTCTCCTTTAATTATACTTGAAGGCTTCGTGGAGATGCGCTTTTATGAGCTCTCCATGGTGTTCTCTCTACCAGGTGTTTGGCATGGCTTAGGGCAGGGTTCCCAATCAGGGTGTGGTCCTCGTCTCACAGGGAGCCTTCTGAAAACATAGACGTCTGCACTTCTGCATTTGCTTATTATGTCTCTGAAGGTGATTCTGATGTGCAGTCCCAGGGGAGACTTAAAACGGAAATGGTATCTTTGAGTGGTTATATGTAATATGGCACCCTAAAACCATTTCTCATGATTTGGTGTTAGCCTGGGCTCACTTCCCTGGCAGGCCAGCCTGGGCCTGAGCCTCTCTCCCTATGGTCCTCCAACCTCAGGAGGCCGTATCAGGCTTCCTCACACAATGGCTGAAGTGGTCCGGGAGGGCAAGTCCCTGTGCACAAGGATTAACCAAGCCTCTGCTTGTGTCACATTTGCTGATGTCCCCTCAGCCAAAACCAGTCACACACTCAAGCCTGAAGTCAGCGTGGAAAGGGTGTGGACTCTGGCAGACATGATTCACTAGGGTCATTTAGTATAGCAGTCTACACATGTAAACATTTGACTAAAAATAGCTCTGTGAAAGGGCACTTACTGTAAGGGCTTAGATCTCATAAAACCTATGGAGAACTGTATAACTGCAATTCTTGTAATCTGCCATTATGGTACACCTACCAACATGGTTAGTTGTGGTTTCTTCAAATTCATTCATTCACTCAGCAAATATAATTTGCACACTTAATGTGTGCTAAATACTAGGGAAACTACAAAACAGACAAAAATTTCCTGACTTTTTGGCACTTAGAGTGCAGTGGTGGGAGTGGAGCGTGTGTGGAAAGAAACAATATTTAAAAAGTGGGAAAGGGAAGTAGGGAGTTGGCGAGGGGTAGCAATTTTAGTTAGAGTGGCCAGGGAAGGCTTCATAGAGAAAGTGATATCATGGAAAGGGTCAAGACTAGCACAGACGACATCAGATTGGTTCAGGCCAGTGCCCTAATATAAGTGTGAGCTCTGCCAACTCTGATCTGGTTTCTCTGACTGGACTTAAGTTGTGGGTACAGGATGGAGAGAAAGGACATGTGAATTGAGTAAGTAATGTATGCTAGGTACATTTGTATATTTCAGTTAGGCCTCTCAACAGCCTTGTGAACAAAACTTAGTATTATCTTTGTTTTGCTTTTTGAGACTCTGAGTTATAGCTAGTAACTTAGGTCAAAGAAGGGAAGATGAGGAGGAGAAAAATACTAGGAAATCAGAGAGAATATTGAATGTTAGAACAGATTTAGTGCTGGAAGAGGACACGAGTTAAGTGATAAATTAATCATTTAGAACATGTTGTTGCATTTATTTCTCTCACCTTCAGTTCTTCTGCTTCTATTTTATGTTTCTGTGTTTGTTTTTGCTTCCTGACAGGAATGGGTAACTGCTACTGACATCAGAGTAACTCTCAATCGCCTGAACACTTTTGGAGATGAAGTGTTTAACGACCCCAAAGTTCTCAAGTCTTATTATTATGCAATCTCTGATTTTGCTGTGGGTGGCCGGTAAGTAAACTATTCAGAGAGTCATGAAAGTGATTGGAGCTTTGGTATAGAAGTGAATCTACTTGTTTGCAACTATGTTAATACCATTGTTAAGACTTTTTCTTCACCAAGAGTAGGAGCACCAGTCTTTAGCGTGTGATAACATGTATCTGGAAAGACAGCAACCTAGGATGTTTTTCTTGTCAGATCTTTTTATTGTTCTAAAAACTAAGTAATTAGGCTTTCCAAAACTATGTCCAGTCAACATACTTAGTGAAGTCTTATTGACTAAGTACAGTGGTACTGTAAAACTACTGAGAAAGGGTAAGACTGACATTTTCCTACTGAGAAGTTCTGACCTTCTCAGATCTTTCAAATAAATAGGATAGGCAATGCATGAATATGTGAATATTTAAAGACTAGGAGTCACATGTTTTAAACACAGAGATCGTGCAACAGTAGAAAAAATGCCACATATTACCATAATACTATTAAGAAAGGGATTGGCAGTAGCGGATACTGCCAGGGTGGGTGGGTGGAGGGGAGTAGGCACAGCATCAATAAGGGTACTCTCGAGCCAATTAAAGTGGGGACCAGAGGTAGGCCAATACTTTACCTGTATGATGATCACTTGTATACCTAATCCTGAATTGCACCTCATATCTTTAAAAAAGAAAAGATGCCACATATCAAGAATGATCTGGAACTGTCCAGCTAGGGAAGCAGATGGTAACTGAGCTGAATCTTGAAGAGTAGGTGGGATTTGGATAAGGAAGGAGGATGCCTGGGTTGGGTGCTAGAAGACATTTAGGCATATAATGAGTAGACACTTAAAGATGGGAGAGCATAAGCCCATTTGACTTAAGGAAAATCTCTCATATGAATTTGAGGAATTTTAAATCAGAAAGATAGTTTGGTAGCCAGAGACCTTAGACAGCAAGCTAAGAATCTTGAACTCACCTCCCCTGTATGAGATGATGAGATCTCAAGAGCAGAAAAATTACTTTGCATACATTGTTCCTGGTATGGGATTGATGCTCAGTGAAAGTTGATGGGAAATGTACCCAATGAAAAAAGCAGTCAGGCTCGGTGGCTCAGCCTGTAATCCTGCGCCTTGGGAGGTCAAGGTGAGGGGATTACCTGAGCCCACGGGTTCGAGACCTGCCTGGGCAACTTGGCGAGACCTCATCTCTTCATAAAACAAAACATTAGCTGAGTGTGGTAGCGCACGCCTGTAGTTCCAGCTACTTGGAAGGCTGAGGTGGAAGGATCGCTGGAGCCCAGCAGGTCGAGGCTGCGGTGGCCGGGAGCATGCCACTACACTCCGGTCTGGGCAACAGAGTGAGACTCCAACTCAAAAAAAAAAAAAAGAAAAAAGAAAAACCAGTTAGAATGTTTGGAGTAGGGCTGTGACATGAAAACTGTGGGTTAGGAAGATAAATATGCAAGCAGGGTGAAAGTAGAGTACAGTTGGGATAATTTCTATTCCTGTTAGTATGCTGTGTTAGGCAACGAATACCTGGCATTAGGCTGGTGACAACAAAAGGGAAAGGAACATATGGATGCATTTTATCGTGAAGGGATTACTAGGACTTTAGTCAAAGGTGATGTTAAGGTTTAGTGATCAGGAGACTGGTGGTCCATTAACAAAATAAATGAAGAAGGTGAGTTAATTTGGGGGGGTTGATGAGCTTAGTTTGTAGACATGTAAAATTTAGGTCATGGGGCCATATGAGTTTGTGTATCAGTCAAGAATAGGAATTTGGGAGAAAGATGAAAGCTGGAGATCTAAGTATGAGACACATCCTGCCACACTAGATGCTTCCGAAGTGTTTCTATCATTTAATAGTAGTTGAAGTTGTGGAACTGATTGCTGTCTTTAAGGAAGCAAGTGACAGAAGCGCTGCTGCTCCACAATGAACATTAGTGTTCATGGGTGTTTGCATGAGTCTCTAGTTTATGATTATACTTTAGTCTAAGGTAGCCTTCAGAGATTTCTTGCCCCAGACAACCTTAGGGAGTATCAGTCTAACTACTGGATATCCATATGGTGGTGAGGTGTCTAATGTGTCTCCCTATCTTTAGATCAGAATACTTTAACATCATTATAGCAAATAGTTGCTGACATTTATTGACTTATGCTGTACCCGTGATTTCAAACCCAGGCAGTCTAACCTCAGAGTCCATGATCTTCTGAACCACTACATTTGGCTGCCTCTTGACACACAAGTGTAACTTTAAGAATTGATCCAACAGGAATCCCAGAGATTGTTAGGGACTTTCTTCTCATTCCCTGTTCTCATCTCATGTCCCATTCCCTGCTAAATAAAGCTGTTTTTTGGTTTTTTATTTTTCCTTCATCCCTGAGCGTTCAAGTAGCCATTACTTAATCTTGCCCAGTACCTCACTTTATGTTTTTGAATGGTAAAATTCAAAAGCATTCCTAGGTTGTTTGTAATTCTCTGCATACATACTTTTTCTGCATGCATTTCTGGGATGCTGCAGCAGTTTCATTCTTTGGAGTGTCTCTTCTCTCCCCAGGTGTAAATGTAACGGACATGCTAGCGAGTGTATGAAGAATGAATTCAACAAGCTGGTGTGTAATTGCAAACACAACACATATGGAGTAGACTGTGAGAAGTGTCTTCCTTTCTTCAACAACCGGCCATGGAGGAGGGCAACTGCAGAAAGTGCCAACGAATGCCTACGTGAGTACCCCTCGGTATCCATCTGTTAGTTGTCTTGGAGACTCTGAGGCTGAAGGAAGGAATGGATGACTTCCTTTTTTGCTTCCTTGGAAGGAAAATTTCTAAAGGCTGTGCTTTTTCCATAGTTTGACAGAGTAGAACAGTGAACTGCATGTGTGTCAGGAAAATCATAGATGAGGGTAGCTGGTGTTGTGTTTATTTCATGAACACACATGCCAGCATGGGGACGGCATCTACAGGGTTTGAAAATTTGCTCAGGTCCAAATACTCGGGTCAGGGTAGCCTACTCTAAAATATGGTTTCTCTAGTCTTTTCTTTGTTGTCCTTTAATTCTTCTTCCGACCAATGCTTATTTATTCAGGCAGCCAAAGTCATGATTAACACATATTAGGTACACTGAATTCTAGGCTGCGACTGCCATTCAAAAGATTATTTCTCAAAATTATTTTTCCTTTATCTCACTAAAGAGTACAGTAGGGAGAATTTTCCCACTACTCCCATGGAGAGGTGGGAGGCTTTGGGAGGAAGAGTAGGTCTTAGAATTCCTAGAAAAGGGTAAAATGAACAGGGAAAAGGGAACACTTCTACACTGTTGGTGGGAGTGTAAACTAGTACAAACTTGGTGGAAAACATTTTGATGATTCCTAAAAGATCTAAAAGTAGACCTTCCATGAGACCCTGCAATTCCCCTTCTGGGAATACACCCGGAGGAACTCAAATCACTCTATAAAAAGGATACCTGCACACACATGTTTATTGCAGCATTATTCACAATAGCAAAAATATGGAACCAACCATGCTGCCCATTGAAAGAAGACTGGATAAAAAAATGTGCTTTTACACAACAGAATATTATGCATCCATAAGAAGGACAAAATTATGAACTTCACAGCAACTTGGATGGACTTAGAGTCTATAATACTGAGTGTTCTATCACAGAAACAAAAAACTGAGTACCACATGCTCTCACGCATAAGCGAACCCTGAACAATTATCATAATACTATATGAAAGGGATTGGCAGTAGTGGAATACTGCCAGGGGAGGGAGGGGCAGCACACCTCGTCAATAAGGATACCTGATCTCAAACCAAGTGAAGTGAAGACCAAAGTGAGGTGCAAACTTTACCTACACAATGACCATTTGTATACCTAACCCTGAATTGTACCCCACATCTTAGAAAAAAGAAAAGAAAAGGGTTAAATGAAAGAGGTAAGACATTGTTTATCCCTTCATAATGTCATAGTTTACTCTGAAACAGATAGAAATCTCAGGCAAGAGGAGACATGAAATCATGATTTGCCATAGACTTAACAGTAACAAACTTTTAAAGTAACTATAATTTTCTTATGTTCTTACAGATATTCTTTATCATATTGAGAACAAAGAGAATAAGAAAGAAGATACTTAGAACTTGCAGAAATTATTGGCAGAAATCTTGAGAAGGGACTGATATCTTGAACCATGACTATTTCCATTGAGCTGCCTAGAGCAATTATCTACCCCCCCTCTTTTTTTTTTTTTTTGGTTAATGACTCAGAGATCTCACTCTTGTCACTCAGGCTGGAGTGCAATGGCATGATCATGGCTCACTACAACTTCAACCTCCTGGGCTCAGATGGTCCTTCCACCTCAGCCTCCCGAGTAACTGGGACCATGTGGTATCATGTCTGGTTAATCCTTGATTTTTTTTGTAGAGATGAGGTCTTATTATGTTGCCTAGGCTGGTCTTGAACTCCCAAAATGCTGGGATTACAGGCACGATCCACCACACCTGTACAGATTTTCTTATTCATCTTTTCTTTTCCTCAGCAAATCCCAGATTTGAAAATAAAATTTATAAATTTTACAATTTACAGTCTCCTCTAGCAATCATAAGTACTTAACTTGAGTTTTTAAAATTCTATTACTGAACTGTAATATGCAACGTTGGAAGCTATACGATAAAGGGAAATAGAAAAAATAGAAAAAATGAAATACTCCTAAAATGTGTCATCTAGATAAATGACACATATGCTTGAAAAGTATTCTACTTGATGTTCTGAGTCTATCCAAGAAATTACTAAAAAAAACCAAAACATTGCCAGCTTATCACTAACAAATGCACTGAGTACTGAGGCAAATGTACTTGAATGAAGAACTAAGTTTACTTTCCTCCTTGATCCTTGATTACGATGCCTCAAAGAGTGAAGTTTCTGGATATTGTGACAGTGCTATATTGTCAGGATGCTGGGGCTAGGGGAGAGAAATTATAGCTTGCTTCTCAAGGTAAAGCCATAGTACCTGCCTTAGCTGTGGGTTGGGACAGTGTGGACAGAGGAATTGTTTTGTTTCACAGTGTCCTAGCATCAGACTGTTCAGGTGGGCTGGGCTAGTTGGATGGGGGTAATCTAGGACAACTGGAGGGAAGAGAAATAGCTAATGAGGAAGAAAATTAGCGCTATAAAACTAATAAAACTCCTAACTTTTGTCAGCAATGAGTCACGTCTTTAAAAATGTTTTCAATTATAGTGTACTATAAAAGAACTGATCATAAAGGAGAACAACAAAAAAGGAAATGTGTATATTCAATTTTTTTTTTAAAGCAATGTACTGCTCTATCTGAAACAATACTTTATTTCTATTTAGTGCTCAAGATACTGTCTATATTTTGGGGACGAATCAATAATTCTGAAAAATTTATCTTAATACAAATACAGTAAAGGATTTCTGTGACTACAGATAGTTGTTCTTAAAAATGGTTGTGCCCATTAGGGAGTATGGTTTCTTAGCAGATGACCCAGTTGGAGTTGAGTCTCCCCAGAAGATGATGTATCTGGAGGATCTAGATTTCCCTTTGATTCCGCTTCCATCTACAGAGGCACTAATTTTAACCCATGTATCTCAGGTTAGCCCAGGCTGGATATGCACATAATCTAGCACTTTGAAAGTTAGTGTCTTCATGTGTTTGTATCAACTGAGGCCTAAAATGTTAAGGTAAATTGAAGCCTGCATATAAAATAACATCTTGTTCTTGGAGTTGATACTAGAATAATGAAGGAGATAGATTCAGGAAAATTGTAATTTGACTTGACTTTTGCTTGTATACGAACAACTACCTGGAGGCAGATTCTTTTCTAAGTACAGAAGTTCCTTATATTTTATGGTGGTGCTACTTTTTAGAAGGATGAGCATTTCTTAGTAAACTGATCATCTGACCATATAAACTTTTTCTAGCATACTGTTGTTTTTGTTTTTAGTGAACAGCCCATGTGGTCGTCATTCATAGTCTACCACCATCTATCTGTCGCAGAGATATGGGAAATTGTAGTTTGTTTTTTCAGTCTTTTAAAAGGGTATTCTTTTTTTTTTGAGTTGGAGTCTCACTCTGTCGCCCAGACTGGAGTGCAGTGGCCGCTCCCGGCCACCGCAGCCTCGACCTGCTGGACTCTGGCGATCCTTCTGCCTTAGCCTTCCGAGTAGCTAGAACTACAGACGCATTAAAAGGCTATTCTTAAAGGTCCCTGGATCTGACATAACTCATGTGTTTTGGCCCACAGCCTGTGACTGCAGTGGGCGATCACAGGAATGCTACTTTGACCCTGAGCTGTACCGTTCCACCGGCCATGGGGGCCACTGTACCAACTGCCGGGACAATACAGATGGCGCCCACTGCGAGAGGTGTCGAGAGAACTTCTTCCGCCTCGGGAACAATGAAGCCTGCTCTCCTTGCCACTGTAGTCCTGTGGGTAAGTGACAGGAAGATGGGTTGAAAGACAACATTTTTAAGAGTTCCTTGGACCCCCAGGAAACAAAGCTTTGTTTCCTAGGCATTTGCATGCTAAATGTGGAGGTGATACATTATTGTAACATAGAAGTTCAGGGTCTACCTCTCCTGCACACCTCTGCTCTTTCTATGTTGAACTTTCAAGATTATTATGTGGTATATGTAAAAGTGGGGAGTGGCCTGAGTAATGACTTTGTAAATAATTAGTGACAGGATCATAGAGACCATTTGAACTTTGACTGGAAAAGGTTAACAGTTTTGTGAGTTCTTCTTTGTTAATAATTTTGTTTTGTCTCATTTCCTTAAAGCACTGAACTGTTGTCAGCGTGTTCATGTATGTCCTGAGATGCACAGCACTTTTAGTCCAGTCCATTCTACTTTTTCAAGAGTTTAGCCTTTATTTTTGTCATTCAGGCCTGAGTGTACTTAAATTCTAGAATGGGCTTTAAGGGGCCATGCTCGCTCACAGAGAAGTGACTGGTTTTGTGACAGTGTATTATTAGCTGCAGAGTGACTTGTAAGTGTTTTTCAGTGTTGATGAGTAGATTTGTCTTAAAGTGTCATGGCTTAAAAGGGTATGATTTTGAGGGAGTTTTGATTTGAAATTTTGTCTTTATCCTCTGACCATCTAGGCATTACATACTGGCTCTCAGGCATTGGTTTTGTTACCAGTTCTCTTTCTTTGATTTTTTAAAAAATTTATTTATTTATTATAAAAATGTGGGGCACAATTAAGGGTTAGGTATATAAACACTGATCATGAAGGTACCCTTGTTGTTGAGGTATGCCCCTCCCTCTCCTAGCAGTTTCCCTAAACTGCCAGTCCCACCCCCACTCCCCTGACAGTTTTCTACTACTGTCAATCACTGTCTTATAGCATTATAATTGTTCAAGTTCACCTTATGAGTGAGAACATATGGAACTCAGTTCTTTGTTTCAGTTCTCTTTCTTTGACACATGGACTTTACTTCCATATCTGACTGGATTTGTGATTGACAGGGAGCTCTTTGAATCGTAGGTTCTCTGAGCACACAGTGTGATAGTTATGGCAGATGCAGCTGCAAGCCAGGAGTGATGGGGGACAAGTGTGACCGTTGCCAGCCTGGATTCCATTCTCTCACCGAGGCGGGTTGCAGGTAAAATGTTTTCAAAACCAGAAGAAGGGGACAGAATCTATGTTTAGTCAATTCATAATAATAGATCTGTGGCTTATTGGCAGCAGTGTGAACATTTTTCCCATAATAATTGTCACCAAGATTTAAGACTGGTTATAATGAGGACCTACAAGGGGTTTGTTTTGTTCAGAGAGTAAGCAGGGTTTCCAGTATCTAAATGGGATGGATATCCTAGACTCAAACCAAATCCAAATACAAAAATGACTCTGGGATCCATTTTGTTCTATATGTATGCTTTTAATAAAATCTATTAATATGTAAAATAAAAGGCTGTCTTTAAGAATGGAAATGGAATTTATTTTCTCCCTTCTCTTGTTTTATTTCATTTTCCATCAAATAGGACGTGCTCTTGTAATCCCTCTGGCAGCATCAATGAATGTAATGTTGAAACAGGAAGATGTGTTTGCAAAGACAATGTGGAAGGTTTCAGTTGTGAGAGGTAGTGTGTTCTCTCTGTAGCTACATTGTATTTTCTTTGTTATCATGTTTCAAGTAAAAAACAGTAACAGATTGTGTTTTAATCTTTTTCAGATGCAAACCAGGATTTTTTAATCTGGAATCATCTAACCCTAGGGGTTGCACACCCTGCTTCTGCTTTGGGCATTCTTCTGTCTGTACAAATGCTGTTGGCTACAGTGTTTATTCTATCTCTTCTACCTTTCAGATTGGTAATTTAGACCTCTGCTCCTCCCTAGAACTGTGAGACTATACTTACAATATGTATATATTTTCAAATCATTATATATTTTAAATCATTATATATTTGAGATGTGTCTAGATCTCATTCTGTAACACAGACTGGAGTGCAGTGGCATGATCATGGCTCACTGCAACCTCAGCCTCTTGGGCTCAAGTGATCCTTCTGTCTCAGCCTCCTGAGTACCTGGGACTACAGGTGTGCGCTACCAAGCTCAGCTAACTTAAAAATATTTTTTTGTAGAGACAAGGTCTAGCTATATTGCCCAGGCTAGTCTCAAACTCCTGAGCTTAAGCAGTCTTCTTACCTTGACTTCCCAAAGTGCTGGGATTACAAGTGAAAGCCACCATGCCCAGCTATTTTAAACTTTTTTTTGTAGAGACATGATCTCGCTGTGTTGCCTAGGCTGGTCTTGAATTCCTGGGATCAAGCCACTCTCCTACTTCTGCCTCCCAAAATGCTGAGATTACAGGCATGAGCCACTGCACCTGGACTCTTTGAGGGCTTTTTGATGGTGGCAACATGTGATGTATTTAATATGCATGATTTTTCTTGCTTGACCTTTTAATTTAGTAAAAATATACTTATGATTTTAGAGCTTACCATAGTGAATAGTAAGTACAAATGTTATATAATAACAATAAAGTGAAATATAGCTTGAGAGGTATAGCTTTTATACCATGTAGGAGCCATTCATTCAAAAAACTTTCATAATGACTTTATTTACAAAGTGTGGTCTCACACATTTTTGTGGTATATAGGGGGCCTGAATTCAGCATGGTTGCAGTGTAGCAGTGCTTGTATTTTCATTATCTGCCTGCAGATGAGGATGGGTGGCATGTGGAACAGAGGGACGGTTCTGAAGCATCTCTCGAGTGGTCCTCTGAGAGGCAAGACATTGCTGTAATCTCAGATAGCTACTTTCCTCGGTACTTCATTGCTCCTGGTAAGCAAGACTAGAAAGCATTCTGACTTGCTGAGTATACCTACTTAGTCTCATTCTCACATTCTTGCTCATTGTGTCTGCATTCCAGCAAAGTTCTTGGGCAAGCAGGTGTTGAGTTATGGGCAGAACCTCTCCTTCTCCTTTCGAGTGGACAGGCGAGATACCCGCCTTTCTGCAGAAGACCTTGTGCTTGAGGGAGCTGGCTTAAGAGTATCTGTGCCCTTGATCGCTCAGGGCAATTCCTATCCCAGCGAGACCACTCTGAAGTATGTTTTCAGGTAAGATGGCCACCTTGTAAAGTGGGACTTGACCAGCCTTGTGAAAGTGGTTTCTTTAAGCTTATCTGGCCTTCAGGTATAAGTTAAAGAAAAACCTCGGATTTATCCTGGTGACTTTATCTTCCAGGGAAAACAAAGGGAATCTTCCTTTGTTTGTCTCTTCCAGTTGTGCTAGCAAACTAAAGTCTCATTTCTGCTTATACTGTGGGAGTATTGAGTTCTTGGTGACATGAGTGAATAAGAAATGTTTTCCCAACACCCAGAATTATCCGTACAGAGGTACACGTGACCCTTTCTTTCTTTCCAGGCTCCATGAAGCAACAGATTATCCTTGGAGGCCCACTCTTACCCCTTTTGAATTTCAGAAGCTCCTAAACAACTTGACCTCTATCAAGATCCGTGGGACATATAGTGAGAGAAGTGAGTTTTGATGTAATTTAGGAGAGTTGTTTAAGAAGATGATTGAGTAGAAGGATTCATACTAATGCAAACATTTCTTCTAATACTATAACACGATAACTACCACATTATACATGAATTATATATTTAAAAAATACTTTTTTGAACTACTTTTAGGGACTTGGAGAAAATTTGGTAAAATACATAATGTTTTATAATTTATAAGTCAATTGAGGTTATATTGTATATCAATAGATTTTCTAAAAACCTAATTCTGATTCTCCTGGGTCACGTGCCTGATCCTCATTTCTTGTTATTTACTGCTATGTAATTTATAATTTAAACCATTGGTTAAATTGTTTAAAAATTATGAATTACTGACTGAATGTTTGTTATAATTTTAAGTGAACAAGGCTTTTAAAAATATGCCTTTCAATTTTTTTTTCTTTTATAAAAATTTTTTTTTTTTTTTGAGTTGGGGTCTCACTGTTGCCCAGACTGGAGTGCAGTGGCTGCTCCCGGCCACCGCAGCCTTGACCTGCTGGGCTCTGGCGATCCTTCCACCTCAGCCTTCCAAGTAGCTGGAATTACAGGCCCGCACTACCACGCCTGGCTAATTTTTTGATTTTATTGTAGAGATGAGGTCTTGCCTGCCCAGGCGGGTCTCGAATCCGTGGGCAATCCACTCACCTCAGCCTCCCAAAGGCGCGGGATTATAGGCTGAGCCACCGAGCCCGGCTTATAAAAAAATTTTTAAATTTTTCTTCTCCAGCAAGGTACAGCTATTTGGGTGACATTGTGGCATTGGGAACAGCATCAGTAGCTTAGATGTGTTGGTTTTTAGGATGCCTGCATGAATATCCAGATGAAAATGTCTTATAAGTGATTAGAAATATGGATCTGGGGCTTAGGAAGAAGTTAGGACCAGAGATCCAGATTAGGTTGTTAACATATGGGCAGTACTTTTTTTTTTTCTTTTTGAGTTAGAGTCTCACTCTGTCACCCAGTCTGGAGAGCAATGGCACACTCCCGGCCACCACAGCCTCGACCTGCTGGGCTCAGGTGATCCTTCTGCCACCTCAACCTTCCAAGTAACTGAAACTACAGACATGTGCCACCATACCCAGCTAATTTTTTTTATTTATTGTAGAGATAAGGTCTCACCAGTTTGCCCAGGCTGGTCTTGAACCTGCAGGCTCAGGCAATCCTCTCACCTCAGCCTCCCAAAGTGCTGGGATTATAGGCATGAGCCACCGTGCCTGGCCCAGCAATAATTTTTAAACTTGGATATGTGACAGAAAATAAAAGGAAAAAGAATAGAATCCTGGAAATGCAGTTAGTTAAAGGTCCATACCCTAAAACTCAGGAGGGAAAAATGAATTATAAGGAAGAGAAACAACAGGTTTAGGAAGATAGCACCACTGGGTTTTGGATTAGGTGATTAAGGAATCATTGGTGAGTTTTTGTTTTAAAGAAGTCTTGAAACTGACCTTAGATCACAGTGCTTTAAAAAGTAATTTGAGGGAGAAGAAGTAAAATAAAGAATATTCTTTTAGGACGTTTGGCTATAAGTGAAGGCAAAGAGATGAGCTGTAGTTTGGAAGTAGGAACAAAATTGAAGAAAGTATGTTTAGGATGGAAAGACTAAGAATGTTTAGAGTTGGAAGCACATTTACCAATGAAGCCATATCTCATGATCTAAGCGGGCAAGAAAAATGATAAACATACTGAAAGTTAAGTAAGTTCAAGGCAGTAATAGAAGAGGTATCCTTCAGCCTTAGGTAGTTAGCTTTTAAGCGAATTTTATAAACAGCAAGTGATATTTCATAACATGGGAAAAATATACTTCAAGCATATGACTGCAAAAGACTAGAGTGGGATGGGATTAAAGGGAAATATGATGATGTTATCGGGACCTACCTCTCCCATAGAAGGCTCCAGCTCATGCTACCACGGGCAGTACTGAATTGGATGAACCTTTGGTCTAAGTCAGTGCAAGGTTTCCTCTGTTTTCTTTCTTTTTTCTTACTTTGTCACCCAGGCTGGAGTGCAGCGGCAGCCTCTACCTGCTGGGCTCAGGAGATCCTTCTGCCTCAGCCTTCCAAGTAGCTAGAACTACAGGTGTACGTCACCACACCTGGAAAATTTTTTGATTTATTGTAGAGACGAGGTCTCACCATGTTGCCCAGGCTGGTCTCGAACTCCTGGGCTCAGACAATCTTCTTGCCTCTGCCTCCCAAAGTGCTGGGATTACAGACATGAGCCACCACGGCTGGTAGTTTCCTTTCTTTTCTTTTCTTTTCTTTTTTTTTGAGTTGGAGTCTTATTCTGTTGCCCAGGCCGGAGTTCAGGGGCACGCTCACGACCACTGCAGTCTTAACCTGCTGGTTTCTTCTATTTTCTAATAGAAATGGAAAACATTGTGACATATGGCATAACGGCTTTAGAATAATTGCATGCTTGTAAGAAGTAGCCCTGGATATTAAGTTTTTGCTTTTTGCTGTTCTGTGGAGGGCAAAAAATATAGGACCTGAGTATTGCCTGTTGACAGGTACTTTCTCTTCTTTCTTACCCTTCAACTCTATAGTCAATGTCTGCTTCTGTGGTAAAGAAACAAGGACACTACTTAATGCCCATAAGCTCTTCTTTTAACTTCATCTTTTCCCACATACTCTCTTTTCCCTCATACTCTTGCCCCAAATGATTGTCCAGTGTTTTTTATTTTTCACACTGGTTATTGGGAGAACTGTAAAATCTGACAAATCTGGGTGTATGTGTGTTTAAAAATGTAAGTTAGCTATTCCACCACTCCGGATCTTTAGCACCCTGTACCAAATGATTGTTTTAAATGCTGTTTTCTAATTGTTTTCTCCAGTGGATGAATTAAGCTAATGGGGGGGTTCTTTTTTTCTCTGGAATCCTGAGTCCGGTTACTTTTTAGTGTTATTCACTTTTCACAAGGTTTTGGAAAACAGAAGCCAGTTTTGTGATTCTCTTTTTCACACCGTACACAGGTGCTGGGTATTTGGATGATGTTTCTTTGGCGAGCGCTCGTCCTGGGCCTGGGGTCCCTGCAACTTGGGTAGAGTCCTGCACCTGTCCTGTGGGATATGGAGGGCAGTTTTGTGAGTTGTGCCTCTCGGGTTACAGAAGAGAAACTTCTGGTCTTGGACCATACAGTCCATGTGTGCTTTGTACCTGCAATGGACACAGTGAGACCTGTGACCCTGAGACAGGTGAGATGCTCTTTGGCAGCTGCTGGGCCTGCCTTCTCTTTAGTGGTTGGGTAGGAAGTGCTCATTGTCTTATTTATTTATACACTTGCCTGTGTTCTCCCCTGTGCTCTCCGACTAGGTGTGTGTAACTGCAGAGACAATACAGCCGGCCCCCACTGTGAGAAGTGTAATGATGGGTACTATGGAGATTCAACCTTGGGCACCTCCTCTGATTGTCAGCCCTGTCCGTGTCCTGGAGGCTCAAGTTGTGCTGTTGTCCCCAAGACACAGGAGGTAGTATGCACCAACTGTCCTACTGGCACCACCGGTAAGTCTGCCTTCTCCATCTGCTCTTGTTTCGTCCTTCAAAAAGACCTGGGGAAAAGGAGCTTTGGGTTTTCTTTGGAAGGGTGGGGGGGTTCTTTTTTTGTTCAGTTCAGTGATTATGGTTTTCCTAGCAGGCAAATTTTTGTGGGAAATAGGTCAATTACAGATTCATAAAAGGCATACCAGATGACTAATGATAGTTAACATGTGTTGAGTGTTTATGGCCAGGTACTATCCTAAGCAGTTGACATGTATTGCCTCATTAATCCTTATAACCGAATGAGATGAGCTATACTTATTATTCTCTTGTTGCAGCTAAGAAAACAGACATAAATTATATGTCCCAGTGTTACATGACTAGTCATTGGTTGAGCTAGGATTTCAACCCAGACTTCAAAGATGTAATCATCACCACAGTATACTTTCTTCATAAGATGAGAACCACAACTTGATTTTTAATTTGTGGAGCTGTCCTGGGGTTCTTGATATAAAGTGGTCACTTTGAAATTCTTTAAAGTCTTTCTCAAAATAGTCCTTTCAGTGTATTGGAATCCATCACATTTAATAGGATATTTTGTGTGTGTGGCTTTGGATAGGCCTCTGTTCCCATTCTTTATGTTTCTTTTTCACAAGAACTTAGTACTAGCTCTTCACTGGCCATTCACAGAACTGTCTGGGCTGACTTACCTTGGAGGCTGAGGCTCACTGGTAGAGTACCCCGCTTCTTCCATTGATGTTAGTCTCGGCTGTAATGAAGAGATTCTGGCCGTGCAGCCTTTGACTCCAGTACAAACTTCTAGTTCAAAAGATACTGGTATAGAGCATGAAAATAAGTTTAAAAAGCAAAACAAAACAAAAGCAGAACAAAACTGAACTAATAATCTGTATTGCTTGTGTCTCATTAAAATATTCTTTTTTTTTTTTTTTTGAGTCAGAATCTCACTCTCGCTCAGGCTGGAATATAGTGACACAATCATGGCCCCTGCAGCCTCAACCTACTGGGCTTAGGCTATCTTTCTGCCTCAGCCTTCCAAGTAGTGGAACACAGGGATGTACCACCACACCCAGCTAATCTTTTTTTTTTTGAGTCGGAGTCTCACTTTGTCGCCTAGGCTGGAGTGCAGTGGCACACTCACGGCCACCCCAGCGTTGACCTGCTGGGCTCCGGTGATCCTCCCACCTCAACCTTCCAGGTAGCTGGAACTATAGGCAAGCACTACCACACCCGGCTAATTTTTGGTTTTTTTGTAGAGACAAGGTCTTGCCAAGTTGCCCAGTTTGGTCTTGAAACCACGGGTTCAGGCAATTCACTCACCTTGGCCTCCCAAAGTCCAGCTAATTTTTAAATTTTATATAGAGACGAGGTCTCGCTACTTGTTCCAGGCTAATCCTGAACCCCGTAGTTCAGGCAATCTTCTCACCTCCACCTCCCAGAGTGCTGGGGTTACAGACATGAGCCTTTGTCCTCGGCCAAAATATTCTTTGATTATTACGCAACATCAGAACATTCCGTTTTGCTTGCACTACTCCGCTGATGCCACAGCAGGTGCAAAGGAATTGCAGTATAGCTGCTTAAGGTAGTTGAGCAAATGAGGAATGGACAATAGTGTAGGATTTCGTATTTCTGACTTTTCCTTCTTCGTTTTTTACAGTGCCCAGCAGAGTCTCACACAGACTTCTTTAGGCCCCCTGTACTCATGCTCTGTGTTCCAGCCCTCTGGGCTTCTTTTAGTCCCTCAAATGCACCACTGTTTGGCTTGCTAGAAACTGTTCTCTTTCTTTAGACAACTTTACCCCATTTTCTCCTCCCTAAACCTTACTTTTTTTTGGCCAGCTCTTATCTATTCTGTGGGGCTGAATTGAGATATCACTTCACAGAAAGGCTTTTCTCAATGATACCTCCTTGCCTTACTACCCTGGTTTGTTGGAGCCCCTTCCTCTGTTGTCATAGCACATAGTATTTCCACTTGCGACTTCTGCTCTTAGAGATGCTTAACCCTTTCCACTCGGATGTCCGCTCTTAGGGGACATAAAGAGATTGCTGGTTGTTACAGAGGGCAAACTTAGGCCAGTACACTTAAAAAAAAAAAAAGTATGTTTCCTTGACGTTTTCCACTCAAATTGCACAAAAAAGCAAACAAAGAATTGGAATCTGTACTGAGATATGATCGGTCAGTTGAAAAGTGGTTTTCAGGAATCACAAGTGCATCCTTCCACATCGTCTTCAAACAATAGACTGGATGATAAATTACATGTTATTAATGTGTGAGAAAGCAAACGTGACTGCATTGTCTGCTTGGAAGAAAAATACCAGGTGGAAGATGTCATATAAATTACTATTACGCAGCATGTATCAATGAACCTGCAGTGCATGCTGGTGGCTGTTTTATGTGTTACCACGTGTTAGAAAAATGTAAGATAAAATTTAAGTTTTTTGTCATAAATAAGTTCCTCAACATCCAAAATTCCATTAAAAGCCAAATATCGTTGCAATAAAATAATTGACTCTGATGCTATGCTATTTAGTATGAAATGATTTGTTTTTTACTGTTTTGTAGAAAGTATGCAGTCAAGTTGCTGGTAGGTGGTCTGTGAGATGTTTCTGAGCGCAAAGGGTTAATATATCATTTTGGCAAGAGATACCTTTACACATTCTGTTGTTTGATTGGGTAGACTGCAGCTGTAAAGCTGAATAGTTGAGCATTGTGGCAACATTCTTATGTCTATGCAGAAGAACACAAATGGCAAATTGAGACTGTTTGGGATACTTAATGGAAAGATAGAGTACAATACAGGAGGTCATGGAAAACATTATAAACATAGGAGTTACTAAGCAGGCATCTCTCACATGAGACTAGTGAAACATATTTGTTTTGTTGGTTATCACCTGACTTGAAGGGAGTGATCTGTATTACTTCCTGAGGATGTTAGCTAGGGTGTAAAGAGAGGTCTGTATGAGAAACAGGGTAGACCCTATTTTTAAAATGCTGTCCTTCTATATTCTTATATCCAACCTTACTTCTTTTCACATCTTCTTTTGACCCCTTCACATTTTTATGTTTATTCATTTATTTTTAAATTTTAATAGAGATGAGGTCTTACTATATTGCCCAGGCTGGTCTCGAACTCCTGGGATCAAGCAGTTTGCTCACCTTGGCCTCCCAAAGTGCTTGATTATAGGTGTGAGTCACTGTGCCCAGCCTTGTTTGTTTATTGTAGTCTCACCCCTTCAGCCACCATGCCTAGCCAGTTCATGCTAATTTGAATGTGTCAACTATTTTCTGCTGTGATCTTGATTCACATGGCTAAAGGAATTTCTAGTTTAAGCAAATGCAAGTTAAATTTTGATTTCCTCCCTTTTTCTCCAACCCCGGTTCTGTTTCTTCCCTAATCTTGTTCATCTCAGTAAATAAACTACCATTAACCTTGCTGCCAAGCTAAAACCCTAGGGTTTATACTAGATTCTTCTCTCTGGTATTTCTTCAGAACAATCAGTCAGCAAATCTTACTGATTCTCTATCAGATCTGTCACTTTTCACCACATTTACTGCCGTCGTCCTGGTGCATACCACTGTCACTTCTCATCTAGAATTGCCTAATTGGTCTGCCAGCTTCACCAGCTTTCCTGCAATACAGTCTCCATATGAATTCCTTAAAAAACCCTCCTATAGCCTGGCATGGTGGCTCATGCTTGTAATCTCAGCACTTGAGGAGGCTGAGGCGAGAGGATTGCCTTTAGCTCAGGGGTTCGAGACCAGCCTAGGCAGCCAGGTCTCTACAATGAAAAATTTAGCTGGGCATGGTGGCGCATACCTGTGGTTCCAGCTACTTGGAAGGCTGAGGCAGAAGAATCACCTGAGCCCAGCAGGCTGAGGCTGTGGTGGCCGTGAGCGTGCCACTGCACTCCAGTCTGGGGAACAGAGTGAGACTCCGACTCAAAAAAATACAACAAAGCAAAACAAAAACCCTCCCATAGCATCTTGCTGCACTTAAATTTAACTCTAAATTCTGTACTATAACCTTCTCATCTTGGTTTTTTGGATTTTTTTAGGGGGAGGGGAGCTTCTCACTCTGTCACCCAGGTTGGAGTACCAGTGGCACGATCATGGCTCACCTCAGCCTTGACTGGAGCTCGGGTAATCCTGCCTTAGCCTCCTGAATAGCTGGGACTACAGGTGCACACCACCATGGCCAGCTAAATTTTTTTATTTTTTGTAGAGACGGGGTCTCACTATGTTGCCTTAGACTGGTCCCGAACTCCTAGACTCGAGTAGTCCTCCTGCCTTGACCTCCCAAAGTGCTGGGATTACAGGCTCAAGTTGTTTTTCTGAAACATTCTTCCCTTAGAAGTTATCATAGCTGATTTCTTCTCTGTCTTTCCAGTGCCATTGCAATGCCTCCTTCTTACTGCAGCTTTCTCTACCAACCCAATCTAAAGTAGCCCTCACTCTCACTGTGTAACTATCATGTTGCTCAGTTTTGTCCAACTTTTTAATGTTTATTCCTATCTGAAGTCATCTTGTTAATTTGTTCGTCTGTGTATTGGCCACCACCAACTGCAGCACAAGCTTCACGAGAGCAGAGAGCTTGTCTTCCTTGTTTATATCATCCTGACAACCCAGACCAGTCCTGTTATATAGTACATGCTCAGAAAATATTTGTTGAATTAATCAACAAACCTCTGATTCACCAAAAATTTTAGGCTAAGTCAGGCCCTGTTGACTGCAAAGATATTAAGATTCCAACCTGATCTAATTATGGTGGAAAAGTGGAAAAGGAAGGATGAGAATCAGTGAGTTTAGTACAGGGGAGACAGCCCTGATTCCGGTGCTATCTCTCTTCCTGTCAGTTTATTAGGTTGTAGGCAAGTTCCCTTAGCTATTGTAGATGCAGGTGGCAGTAATGATTTTTAAGTTCCTTTCTGATATGCTCTGAGAACCTGTATGGTTGACACTGCTCAGTAGGGATCAGCACATGCCTTCTACATTGAAAGAGAATTTCCTGCTCATGGATTGTATGGGAAGCTTATGGTATTCACAGCGGCACTTTACCTTTTTAAATATCATCAGCCAGGACAATGTATATGAATATGCCATCCTTTGGGACTGGAAAGGTTTCTAAATCTTGGGCCTGACTCATTTCCAAAGCACTTCAAATACATGACTTTGGTTGATTGTCAGAACAGTTGAAGTGAAAGAGGCAGATCGGGTACTTCCTTTCTAGTGAAGAAGTAGTGGTGTGACCCAGGCCCTCTGCCCTCCACTGGACTGTCTGTCACCAGTCTCATCTAGCCCCCAAGAGTGTCTAAGACCTTCTTTTCATAATGTCAGATTGTCTCATCCTCAGGAAAAAGGTGTGAGCTCTGTGATGATGGCTACTTTGGAGATCCCCTGGGGAGAAATGGCCCTGTGAGGTTATGCCGCCTGTGCCAGTGCAATGACAACATCGACCCCAATGCAGTTGGAAACTGTAACCGCTTGACAGGAGAGTGCCTGAAGTGCATCTACAATACTGCAGGCTTCTATTGTGACCGGTGCAAAGATGGGTTCTTTGGAAACCCCCTGGCTCCCAATCCAGCAGACAAATGCAAAGGTCAGATTGTCACAGTCATACTCTTTTCTTCTGAGAATCCGTTTGTGTCTCTTTAAATACTTACAGTTGTTTAGTTCAATGGAAATACAGTGTGAACTTCTTATGTAATTTAAAGTTTTTCTGGTGCCACATTACCCTTTCCCTGTTTGATCAGAGGATATTCACCGGCAGCACTTGTGACTGCAGCATTTACCCTGAGATTAAAAAGAGAGAGAGAGTTACAAAGTGTAGTAATTATCTTCTTTTTTAAAAAAAATCTTACTCGCATTAGAGACAAGTTCTGTTCAGAAGTAACTCCAAGAACAATGTTTGTATTTTATTTTCACATTGAAAACCAGTCAGGCTGGGCTTGATGACTCAACCTGTAATCCCAACACTTTGGGAAGCCAAGGCGAGTGAATTGCCTGAGCCCATGAGCGGAGACCAGGCCGGGCAACTTGCTGAGACCTTGTCTCTACAGTAAATAAAAAATTAGCTGGTGTGGTAGCGTGTGCCTGTAGTTTTGGCTACTTGGAAGACTGAGACAGAAGGATTACCTGAGCCCAGCAGGTCGAGGCTGTGGTGGCCGTGAGTGTGCCACTGCACTCCAACCTGGGCAGCAGAGTGAGGTTCCAACTCAAAAAAAAAAAAAAAAAATTTGTTTTTGCCTCAAAGAGCACGTTTATACAAAATTAAATGAACAAAGCAGCGAGCTGGACTTTTTTCTTCTACATGGGAAAAGGGTTAATAAGTAAAAAGAAGTCCAAGCACGGTGGCTCACACCTTTAATCACAGCACTTTGGGAGCCCAAGGCCAGGAGATCAAGACCATCCTGGGTAACATAGACCCTGTCTCCACAAAAGAAATCAAAAATTAGCTGAATGTAGAGGTGCATACCCATATTCCTAGCTATTCAGGAGGCTGAGGCAGGATGATCACTTTAGCGCATTGACAGCACATCTCAGTTCAGACTAGCCAGTCACGTTGGAAGTGCTTGGTAGCTGCATGTGGCTGGTGGCTACCATACTAAACAATACAAGTCTAACGAATCTGTTTGCGTTGTGGTTGGTTTGTTTGTTTTTGAGTTGGAGTCTCACTTCGTTGCTCAGGCTGGAGTGCAGCGGCATGCTCACAGCCACCCCAGGGTTGACCTGCGGGGCTCCAGTAATCCTTCACCTCAGCCTTCCAAGTAGCTATAGGCTCATGCTACCATGCCCTGCTAATTTTTTTAATTTCTTGTTTGCATTGTTTATAGTTGAGTGTTTCTCCCAGGTGATTTACATCTTTTACTATCTCTGTCTTCCTGCCTTAGCCTGCAACTGCAATCCATATGGGACAGTGAAGCAGCAGAGAAACTGTAACCCCGTGACTGGGCAGTGTGAATGTCTGCCTCACGTGACAGGCCGGGACTGTGGTGCTTGCAACCCAGGATTCTATAACCTGCAGAGTGGGCAGGGCTGTGAGAGGTGAGACATTGGTGCTTCTGGTGAAAGTAATTTTTGCATTGTCAGGAATGAATTTTTGTAAGTTATATTTTATAGTTGACTTGCCTTTGTTCAGAAATTATGAGTGCCTCATATAGGCAAGGTACCCTTCGGGGCAATACTGGAGATAATTAACCTAGTGGAAGAAAGGAGTGGGAGCACAGTGGGCCCCTCTCCCCACTATGTTACAATCACCTGAGCAACATTTAAAAAAGTCGAATTACCAGGTCCTTTCTGAGGTGCTTAGAATCAGACTCTCCAGGGTTGCAACCTGGGAATTCCTGTTTTCAAAGCTCCTAGTGCCTGGGGGGAAGAGCCACTGGCAGCAGAGAGATTAGAAAAAGAGGTTCTGAAGAACACTCATGAAAATTACTTGAGCCATGGGGCCTTAATGACCCTTAACATTCTGTCTTAATAACCCTTAACGTACAGTTTTCTGATATAAATTACAATAGTGCTGTGCTAGGGGGTAAAAAGTTTTGCTTTAAAGTCTGTGGTCCTTGCCTGAGAAGTGTGCTGTGTTCCTTTACAGGTGTGACTGCAATGCTTTGGGCTCCACCAATGGGCAGTGTGACATCCGCACTGGCCAGTGTGAGTGCCAGCCTGGCGTCACTGGTCAGCACTGTGAGCGCTGTGAGGTCAACCATTTCGGGTTTGGGCCTGAAGGCTGCAAACGTAAGGGGTGTTGGTGGCATATATCTAACCCTAATTCTAGTTGGTACCTCAACCTAGCTCCTGGCTCAGTCAAGACTGTCCCCAGGTCCCCATAGAGGATCTGTTTGAAGAACATCATCTTTTTCTAAAACTCTGGAGATCAAGGGTTTTTCTGGTTTTTCTGTAGCCACTTTATGTTTTCTTTTATAACTTTTCTGTCTCTTCCTTTTCCTAATCTTTTACTTTCCCAGGGAAAAATTTCCCTTTAATTACTAAGCCTTCCCACTGTGCTTGACAAACCTTTTTTATTGATCACATTCTTGGTGCAGATAATGAAACAGTGAAGTTCTGTTCACAATGTGTTTGTTGACTTACTGGCTATGGTTGCTTCCCACCCTTGGGGCCCTTTTGGTATGGTTACGTATAAACATCTGCTTCTCCTTGGCATAAACACTTGCCTGGAATTGGGCCTCAAAACAGATTGGTTCTTTGCTTTCTGAATTCCTTCATTTCTCCTGTGGAATGTAGCATAAAGTCATTGACTCAGTTCAGAGAACAAAGTTAGTAAACAAACTATAAAATAATGCCGGAGAAGCAATTGTATTTGGTTTTCCAGATCCTTAGAGAAATATTAAACAGTGGAGAGATGAAGGTAGAGATGAATTCTTTAAGTGCGTGAAAGGGGCACTGATTAGCTTAATAACTTCTGTAATTACCGAGTAACATGATATGTGTCCCACAGGATGCACATTTTACTTTAAAGCTCATTTTTACTTTAAAAGGGTCTGCTTTCACTGCTAAACAGACATAACCACTTAAAATCTCATAGGCCTGTTTTTCAAAAAACATTGTATGCTTATAATGATAGCATAGTCAGCTTACTGATACAAGTCTGAATTAAGACGCTCTCTTCCTTCTTGTGCTTATTATGTGTTTTCCCCTTATTCTGCAGCCTGTGACTGTCATCCTGAGGGGTCTCTTTCACTACAGTGCAAAGATGATGGTCGCTGTGAATGCAGAGAAGGCTTTGTGGGGAATCGCTGTGACCAGTGTGAAGAGAATTATTTCTACAATCGGTCTTGGCCTGGCTGCCAGGAATGTCCAGCTTGTTACCGACTGGTAAAGGATAAGGTAAGCTGTCAGCAGTGCATTTGTTCAATCATTCGTTCATCTAGCCAGTAGACATTTCATTGAAACTTACTATGCACTAAGAGCTATAGAAAAGCTGAATAAAACAAACATAGTCTCTCTTGAGACTTATGTTTTGTTTTTTTTTTTTGAGTTGGAGTCTCACTCTGTCTTTCAGTCTGGAGTACAATTATTATGTACGCTCATGGCCACCATAGCTTCAACCTGCTAGGCTCAGGCGATGCTTCTGCCTCAGCCTTCCAAGTAGCTGGAACCATAGGTACGTGCCACAATGCCAGACTAATTTTTTGATTTATTGTAGAGACAAGGTCTCACCGTGTTGCCCAGCCTGGTCTTGAACCCCTGAACTCACAGTTCTTTCGCCTCAGCCTTCCAAAGTGCTGACATTACAGGTGTGAGCCACCATGCCTGACCTGACTTATATTCTAGTAAGGAGACAACTAAAATCATTAATTAATAGGCCAGCACTTTGGAAGGCTGAGGAGGGAGGGCCACTTGAGCCGATGAGTTCTAGATCAGTCTCAACAACATAGCGAGACCTCATCTCTACAAAAAATCAAAAAATTAGCCAGGCATTTTGTTGTATGCGTGTAGTCCCAGCTTCTCGGGAGGCTGAGACGGAAGGATGGCCTGAGCCCAGGAGGTCGAGGCTGTGGTGAACCTGATCCTTGCACTCCAGCCTGGGTACCAGGATGAGCCCCTGACTAAAAAATAAAATAAAATATTAATAATAAATTAATTAATAAACAGAAGAACGATAAATGCCAGAAGGAATACAAATGGAGATAACTGGGGGAAACAACTTTATTTAAGTTGTCTCTGAGGACATTCATTCTAGGTGAGACCTTAAGGACAAGAAGGAACAAGCCAAGTGAGAAGTAATGGTAGGTTCCAAGCAGAAGAAACGTGGTGTACAATAGCCTGGAAGCTGGGGAGTGGCTGGGGCCTGCTGAGTAAGGGGAGTGTGGCCTGTGATAAGGCAGGAGAGGTTGGTAGGGACAGCTTATATAGGACTATGTTGACCATAGAAAGGAGATTAGGTTTTATCTGAAATCCAGTGGGAATGCACTGAAGAAACCCTTAAAAGCTAGGACATCTAGTTTGTTTAAGGAGGAACACTCTGACTGCTCTGTAAAGAGTGATGGTCAGGAATGGAGCAGAAGGGGAATTCTCAATTGGATTGGATAGGTAACACATGTTTGGGGCAGGATAAGGAAGGAGAAGAATCAAGATGGGTCTTGAATTCTTTTACTTAAGGTAGCCAGAGGCCTTGTTTACAGAGATGGAGATCCCTTCCGGAGAATAGATTTTGGATGTGCAGTTTGAGATCCCTATCAGAGAACTGAATGGAGATATCAAGAAGGTCAGGGAGAGGTCAGAGGTAAAGAATCATCATCATGTAGTATTTAAAGTCAAAGGGCTGGGAGTGGTGGCTAATGCCTATAATTTCAGCACTTTGGAAGGCAGAGGCAAGAGGATTGCCTGAGCCCAGGGGTTCAAGACCAGCTTGGGCAACTTGGCGAGACCGTGTCTCTACAATAAATTTTTTAAAAAATTAGCTGGGATTGGTGGTGCATGCCTATAGTTCCAGTTACTTAGAAGGATGGTGGAAGGATGGCCTGAGCCCAGTAGATGGAGGCCTCAGTAGCCTTGAACATGTCACTGCACTCCAGCCTGGGTGACAGTGAGACTCCAACTCAAAAACTACCCATATCATCTATCCAAAAAGCATATATACCTGGAGTGTCTAGACCTACATATTCTTAGAGTACTGTGTTATTTCTGTAAAAGGTAGGATTGAGAGCCTCAGGGATGCTGTGTGTTCTACCTTTCCCTTTTCTTCCTTCCTTCATGACGTTTAGGTAGCTGATCATCGAGTGAAACTCCAGGAATTAGAGAGTCTTATAGCAAACCTTGGAACTGGGGATGAGATGGTGACAGATAAAGCCTTTGAGGATCGACTAAAGGAAGCAGAGAGGGAGGTGATGGATCTTCTTCGCGAGGCCCAGGATGTCAAAGGTACCCATGACTGAACAGTAGTATGAGGTGGACCAGTCTTTAGATATGGCTCCTAATCCAGGTTCATTAGTATTCTGATGTCTTTCTCAATTTTAAAGCTACCTGTAGAATATAACTTATTAACAGTATTTCAAAAAAACAGCCCATCAACTTAATGCTTTTTTTTTTTTGAATTGGAGTCTCACTCTGTTCCTCTAGGTAGAGGGCAATGGCACACTCACAGCCACCTCAGTCTTGACCTGCTGGGCTCATGTGATCCTTCCACTTCAGCCTTCCAGGTAGCTGGGACGACAGGCATGTACCACCATGCCCAGCTGATTTTTTGATCGATTGTAGAGACAAGGTTTTGCCAAGTTGTTCAGGCTGGTCTCAAACTCATGGGCTCAGGCAATCCTCTTACTTCTGCCTCCCCAAATGCTGGGCTTATAGGCATGAACCACCATGCCCGCCTAATGCCTTAAGATATAATAAACATAAATATATAAAGTATATATTTCCAGCTTATAAAGACTATCAGATGTTCAAATTTCAAGCATTTTATTAATCAATTTCATTACAAGGTATTTAGAAATAGTTGTAAAAATCAGTTAAAGGCATACAATTTTATATGCATTATTTTTAAGTAGAAAATTTGAACTTCATTTTAGTGAATGAGAATTTATTTTATACACTGCTTTATTTCCTTAGGATTCTCATAAGGAAAAAATGTGGTTTTCAAGTATTAACCGAACAGCTAGCTACTGAATATACACACTTGGCATTTACAAAAAGAAACATTAGAAAGTGGTGCCTACTCTTGTATTTTTTGTCTAATTAGCAAACAAATGCATTAATAACATTATATAAAACTAGATGTTTTATATATTATGTCCACTTCTAGGTCCTTTGTAATTATATCAGTCTTTTGCACACGATCTGGTGAGGCTAGTGATAAGGAGAGAAGAGGTGCTTAAGATTTAAAGGACAATATGTTTATTTTAACATACTTTATTCACTTTAAAAGAAACTTCACTTTTAAAACTTTGAAATTAAAAAAGTTTTTTTAAGTATTTTACTTGCTTTTTAAGTCACCTTATTTTATTTATATTCTTACTTTGTGAATTAGGCTTTTTTCTAAACCTAGGCAAGTCCTTTTGTTTACAGAGAGTGCCCATGGTATAGTAAGTATTTATTTAATGTCATCAGTGGATTCTTGGACACTGCGCTTTAAGAGAAGCAATGTGCTATATGATACTACAAGATCTTAACTTTTGCTTATTAATTAGTCTGTGGCAAAATTGGTTTCATTATGCAGTATATCATCTCCCTTAAAGTTGCAGCTTCCAAGCACTTATCGACAACATTAAGTGAGCACCTACAGTATGTGAGGCACTGTACTAAATGCCAGTGATGAAAAGATGAATGTGATGCTGTTCCTGCTGTCAAGGTGCTCGCCATTGAGCTGAGGTCACTTTTGTTTTGGGTCTTTCCAACATTGAGATGCAAGTGTTCACAGATACACATAGTAAATATGCATTAAAATTAGTATATTGGCAGGATATGGTGGCTTATGCCTATAATCCCAGCACTCTGGGAGAGGAGAGGACTGCTTGAGCCTAGGAGTTCAAGACCAGCCTGGGCAACGTAGTGAGACTTCGTCTCTACAAAAAATAAATGAATTTAGCTGGGTGTGGTGGCACATGCCTGTAACCCCAGTTACTTGGAAGGCTGAGGCGGGGGTATCACTTGACCTCAGAAGTCAAGGCTGCAGTGAGCCGTGATTGTGTCATTACCCTCCAACTTGGGCGACAGAGTGAAACCCCAACTCAAAAAAAAAAAAGGTAAAAATAGAATTAATGTACTTGGGACACCAGTGTAAGTCTGTAAAAGTAGTGAAGGTAGAAAAGGAAGAAATTGGATATATCTTGTTTTGGCCAGTTTGTTTTTAGGTTTGTTTTTTTTTAATTGGAGTCTCATTCCATTGCCCAGGCTGGAGAGCAGTGGCACATTCACGGCCACCCCAGCATTGACCCACTGGGCTCAGGAGGGCCTTCTACCTCAGTCCTCCAAGTAGCTGGAACTACAGGCGCGCGCTACCACACCTGGCTAATTTTTGATTTATTGTAGGGTCGAGGTCTCACCAAATTGCTGGGGCCGGTCTCAAACCCGCAGGCTCAGGCAGTCTACTCACCTCAGCCTTCCAAAGTGCTGGGATTACAGGCTGAGCCACTGAGCCCGGCCATTGTTTGATTTTTGTAGTTCAGAAATTGTTCCATGGGGTCAGTTTTTAGAAATTGAAAAAATAAAATGAGAGGTCAGTAGCTTATTAAGTACCAATCCGTCCATCCAAGAGCTGGGGTTTGGTACCGGCAGCTCTGGTACTGGCACCACCAGCAATAGTATGTCGAGGGCAGGAAAGGAGGGTCACCCAGTGTCGGCACCTGTCCAGGCTTCAAGCATTTTGGTGCAGCCTCTGCTGTTTATGTCTCCCATCATTCTGCTTACTGTTCTGTGAGCAAGCAGGTGATTCTGTTGGATGGAAGTTCTAATGAGAGCCATGGCCATCATACATTCCTCTGCTGGGAGGGGGAACCAAATGGGCTGCTGTTCTTGGAGCATGACAGTGAAACAAGGGTTAAAATCTACTCCCTACTCCCTACCCAAGTTGTAGAGTTCCTGGCTGATCTATCCTGTTGAGGGTCAAACTAGCCAAGAATGAAAATATCTCCATAACAATTTTATCTTTTAAGACTATCCTTAAGTATTTGTGTGTATTTTAAACTTGGGTTTATTCCACAGATTTGAGAGGAAATTCTGTGGTGCAGTTAGGTCTTGCAAGTAGACACTCAGAATGGGAAGGCATTTTAAGTGAACCTACTAGATAGGTTATCTACTCTCTTTTCAGATACTATTTTTTCCCTAAAGAACTGGGCAGAGAAATCAATATCTGTTGTATTCTTGAAGGTTTAAAAGGAAGGGGATTCTATAACCCCATTGGCTGTTTATGCCTCCTAAATCTGAATGGTAAACTTGTTTTTATTCTCTGTATTTTTTTTTTTTTTTTTAATCTTTAGATTAGGCTGGGTGTGGTGGCTCAAGCCTGTAATCTTAGCACTTTGGGATGCCGGGAGGTGAGAGGATTGCCTGAGCCCAGGTGTTTGAGACCAGCATGGGCAACTTGGTGAGACTTCGTCTCTACAATAAATCAAAAAATTAGCCAGGCATGGTGGTACACGCTTGTAGTTCCAGCTACTTGGAAGGCTGAGGAGGCAGAAGGATCACTTGAACCCAGCAGATCAAGGCTGTGGTAGCCATGAGTGTAACACTACACTCCAGCCTGGGCGACTGGGTGAGACTCCAGCTCAAAAAAAAAAAAAAAAAAAGAAAAAGAAGAAAACACTTTAGATTATCAAAGAATTGTTTAAGTAATCCTCCAAGCAGGACCACTGTGTATAGTTAGAGTTGTGTAGTACATCACCTTTGCATGTCTTTGATGGCCCTACTTCCAACTTGATATTTTCCAAACCTGTATTCATCTTTATTGATCTTTGACCTTTCAGCATTTTTTACATTCCTTGGACAATTTAGACCACAACACTGTGCATCATGCCAAAATAAGAACTGTCTTTTTTTTTAGTCAGAGTCTCACTCTGTTGCCCACTGACGCTAACCCGCCACTGCAGCCTCAACCTGCTGGGCTTAGGCAATCCCTCTGCCTCAGCCTTCCAAGTAACTGGGACTATAGGTGTTTGCCACCACACTGGGCTAATTTTTTTTATTTATTGTAGAGACAATGTCTCACCACATTGCCCAAGCTGGTCTTGAACTTCTGGGCTCAGGCAGTCCTCTTGCCTCAGTCTCCCAAAGTGCTGGGATTATAGTTGTGAGCCACCGAGCCTGCCTTATATTTGTATGGGCTTATATTGATCTTTTGATTGATTAGGATCTGAGTATGATGTTTAGGTTGAATGGACATAATTAATAAAGGAAAATTTGAAGAACTATTCAAAAGCAGAGATCTACTTGAAAAAAATTACATGGATGTGCTGGGGCATGGGGGTGGCAGCAAGTGTCTATTTAATTTAAAATACAAAATGAGTTTAAATTGCCACACTTCAATATCTGTTTTGAACCTAATTTTTTTCTGGGTTTTAACAAACATTCAGCTGTCTGAGCTGGCAGCATTTTTAACAACATTGTATATCGATGATTAAATCTGGCATGGACTGGAATATCAAAATCAGACTTTCTTTCCTTCACCAAACTTTACTTGGGTTACTTCTTTTTGCCAACTGCTGTGTACAACTGGCAGTGTAGTGATAAGAAAAAAGTCAAGTGGGACGGGTGGGCCCACAATTGGAGAACGCAATGAAGGGACCCACTGGGCATGGTAAGCACTGACCGGCTCTGCTGGTGGGCTCAGGGAAACCTACCAGAGTGGTCTTATGTTTGGAAAGGTGGAGGCACACAGTACCTCGAGTTTCATGTGAGATCGTGTGGCCCTCTTCAGATAATTTATAGGCTTTCTTCTGCAACCCATTTCAGATGTAGACCAGAATCTGATGGATCGCCTCCAGAGAGTGAATAACACTCTGTCCAGCCAAATTAGCCGTTTACAGAATATCCGGAATACCATTGAAGAGACTGGAAATTTGGCTGAACAAGCACGTACCCGAGTAGAGAGCACAGAGCAGTTGATTGAAATTGCATCCAGAGAACTCGAGAAAGCAAAAGTTGCTGCTGCCAACGTGGTGAGTGATTGCAAACGTCTGAGTTGGGGCTGGGAGAGTCCCTTGGTAATTTGTAGCAAGTCTGTTACTGGCAGTGGAGTGTTTCTTCAGCTAAATTGCATCTTTTTGTTTGTCCCTAACTATGGAGCAAGAAAGCCATGTTGCTCTTAATTGGCATGAAGCAGTTATTACAAACTGGATAAAAATCAAGGGACATCTGGGTTATTTCTCTAGCTTTGTTCCCTCTGTGGTACTAGGCAATTTAATCTTTATTTATCCTTGACTGATAATAGAATCTGTAATCAAGAGTGCTGATATTAAGTAAAGAACTGTGAAAATAAGAAGGGGCCTTCTTTTTGCCCTCTAACATGAATACAAATTTAGTTTTGATGCTTTCTTTATTAAATTTAAATAATTCAGTCCTTTGAGAATAAGTGCTTTATTTCCTCTTCAGTCAGTCACTCAGCCAGAGTCTACGGGGGACCCAAACAACATGACTCTTTTGGCAGAAGAGGCTCGGAAGCTCGCCGAACGGTAACCTCCAAATCCCTGTTCATTGGTTAAGTCATAGCTTTCCTTATGGTGTGTATGTGTTGGCCTGTCCCATAATCCATGAACACTTTCCATGTGACCCACTTTTGCAGAGTTGCCTCTCATTTCTGAAATGTTAACAGCCATATGTACTCTTTATTTCTTTTGCTTTGAAATTAGAATATTCACTTTGAATATTAGAATATGATGATTTGAAGAAAAATTATATTTGTGCATCTCAAAGAATACCACAACACCTTTAGATTTTTAACTTTAAGGCCTTCAAGTTAATAGATTTCTAGGAAGCTCAGTAGAATCTAATTATTAATTTAAAAAATATTTCTGACTTTTTAACAAAAATGTTTATTTTTAAATTCTCAATACAAAAACATTTACTAACCCATAGTACACTTAAAAATCAGCCAAAGGCAACAGACCATTTTCAATCCTGATTTTTCTTTTTAATTGAGGTCTCACTCTGTCACCCTGACTGGAGAGCAGTGGTGTGATCACGGCTTATCACAGCCTCACCTAGACCTCATAGACTTAGGCCTGCCTCAGCCTCCCTAGTAGCTGGGACTGTAGGTGCATGCCACCATACCCAACTGATTTTTTTTTTTCTTGCAGAGACAAAGTCTCACTATGTTGCCCAGGTTGGTCTCAAGTGCCTGGCTCAGGCAATCCTCTTCCTTCAACCTATCAAAGTAAAGGGGTTATAGGCATGAGCTAAGGAGCCCGGCATCATTCCTGATTTTTAAAGATTTTTAAAAATTAAGTGTAGTGTAATTTCTTTAGAAGACTTTAAATTTAATAGGCATCAAGTTATAAAAATTTTTTTAAAAATAAAATTGCTATAATATAGGCTTCATGAGGGCAGGCAAATGTATTTTATTCATTGCTAAAGCCCCAGTGCATGGCATATAGTAGGTATTCAATAAATGTTGAATGCTTTATAGAATAGTTAATGGACCTCATGGGGTGGGTACTTGAATAAGACTAAGGCTAGAATTTTAGCCTGTGTCCAGAGCAGTTCTACAGGCTTCTTGCTTTAACATGTGCTTTCTTTCTGTTCTTTGTGAATGTGAATGTGTAAGCTATGTCAACTGGTTCACAGACCATCTGTGGTTTCATAGCTGGGTTTTCCTTCTTAAAAAATCCAGCTCAGCATTATGGAAAGCTCCCAAGAAATTTATCTTGGAGATAAATTTATTTTAGTGGGCTTCATACAAGGATTTTGAATGAAAGTTTATCAGACCAAAAAGATTGACTATGTACTGCAGTGCGACAGTGTAATATGAAATTTTAGATGTGGAAAAACCTTAGCAGTGATCCAACTAAAATGCATTATTTGACTGGAGACCCTGCTGATATACATATTCACTACCGTTTAGCATTGAGTTACATTTCCTGACAATAATTTAGATTGCATATGCAAAGTCTAAATAGTCAAAACTGTTTTAAGACTGTATAGTAACTGAACTAGACTAGCAGATTGTTGTTAATAAAGAGTAGGCCTGGGATTTGTGTTTATAACTAGGTAAATGATTTCTTGCTACCACTCACAATTTCTAAGTAAATTACTCATAAATATATTTAAAAGTAGTTTTTCTGAAGAATTATAGATATTTTCCCCTATAAATTTTATGCCATTAATTTTCTTGGAAAATAACTTTATCTCAGTTTACAAAATACTATTTATAAATTCAACCCTACGGAAATGATCACAAAATTCCAAATTTAAGAGGTCTTTCAATAATATAGAACTCTGCCAACATTGGTAGATATCATAAAGTAAGCATTACTTAAATTTATTACTTCTTTCCCTATTAGATGGTTCTGTTTCGTGACTTATTTTTTCTTTTATCTGTACAGTCACAAACAAGAAGCTGATGACATTGTACGAGTTGCAAAGACAGCCAATGACACATCAACCGAGGCGTACAATCTGCTTTTGAGGACACTAGCAGGAGAAAATCAAACAGCATTTGAGATTGAAGAGCTTAATAGGAAGTGAGTATAAGTTAAAAGTGGTTTATAGCCTTTCAAATGTTCTTGTAACACTAGTTCAGTGAAGAATTAAGTGCTGGTGGATTCGGGGCATGCATTCATGCAGTAAGATTTCCTTTGTTAATCATGCTTTTGAAAAGGCACAGTAATTAGAGCAGGGGATGTGGAGCTAGCCACAGAGATTTGGTTTGATTCAATTACTGTAACAAGATGAGCCATGATATTTAAAATTCTGCATAAGTTAAAAGGAAAAAGATATGATAGAATAAGTAGAGAAAACATACTTGCACTACAAATCTTTAAAGGGTGTCTGAAATCAACTGTATGGTAAGCCATACATCATAAATAAAGTGATGAAGTAAAATGTAAATTTATACTTAATGTTGGTATTAAAATGAGAGCATTTTAGCATAGCATTTCTTTTGAGGTTTTAGGCATGGTGTCACAGTGATGTAAACTAGATTGTAACTGGTTAACATCAAGCTTAAAAGCACCGAAGATTTTCATTCAGTCACACCATTTGTTCCTTAGGTATGAACAAGCAAAGAACATCTCCCAGGATCTGGAGAAACAAGCTGCCCGAGTCCATGAGGAGGCCAAGAGAGCTGGTGATAAGGCTGTGGAGATCTATGCCAGTGTGGCCCAGCTGATGCCTGTGGACTCAGAGGCACTGGAGGTATGGGGGACAGCCTACATGCACAGTCTCCCTCCCAGAGTCCCCCCTCCAGTCCCCTCCCTGTTCCTCCCTCCTCTGTCTGCCTGCTGAGTAAAGTTTAGTTCTACTTTATGTATGGTAATAGAACTTATCAAGGTAAATAGCAAAGACTACTTTAAGGGTATAAATGATCATTCGTAAATTTTTATTGCAAATCCAAATGTTAACCATACATTTAAATTACTTCAAACAGAAGTAAGACCCTTACTCCTGGGGACTGTCTGGTAGAGACCTAGAAAGAGAAAAGAGAGTAGTCTAAATGCTCTGGGACAGGTATAATATTTTGCTGTTGGTAAGACTTTATTTCATATCTGTCCTCTCATTGTGGGTCCTTATTTCAAGCTCTGTCTAAATGGTGCATTTTTGCATTAAACTTTACTGTGAAATTACTGTGTTTCACTTCTTATATCTGAGGTGTTGATGTGATATTTACTCTAAAGATTTAAGTCTCTTCAACCAGATACATGTTATCTGATTGTGTGTGTTTGAAATTCGGAAATTGGCAAGACTACCCTATCAGGGTAAAAGGCAGAACAGTGGCAGTGGTGTTGGAAAGCTGGGGTGGAGACTGACTGGAAGGGGATGAAACTAAGCTTCTTGGGGTGATGAAAATATTCTCTATGTTGATTTGGGTGTCGGTTACAGAGGTAAATATCTTTGTCAAAACTCATCAAACTACATGAAAATGCTATGTATTCATTCCACTCTATGTAAAATATATCTCAGTTTTTATTAAAAAAAGAAATGGTCCATAAAATCTTGACCTGAGCTGTTCTTCTAAAAATACCTATAAAGTATTAGAGTTCCTGAGCCTATCTTTTCATCCGTTGATTTATTTTATCTAAAATGTAGTGATCTTACTTTTCACAGAATGAAGCAAATAAAATAAAGAAGGAAGCCGAGGATCTGGACCGTCTGATTGATCAGAAGTTAAAAGATTATGAGGACCTCAGAGAAGACATGAGAGGGAAGGAACTTGAAGTAAAGGAACTTCTAGAGGATGGAAAGATTGAACAGCAGGTTGGTTTGATTTGCTAGTTGCTTCATTTCTTGAGTCCAGGAGTAAGCTAAGTCTGTAATGATAGCACAGTGCTTAGAGGAGAGCCTTCTACATGGTGGCGGGGCCCAACATGCCACGTGCTGGGAAGTTTCAGAGTGGCGGTTTTGAGGAGTCTTGTTATGAGGAGAGAGAAGGCATTTGCTGTGGAGGGTTTGTTCTCTGATCTGCCATGTGTTTGCAGACTGCAGACCAACTCCTTGCCCGAGCAGATGCTGCCAAGGCTCTTGCCGAAGAGGCTGCAAAAAGGGGACGAGATACCTTACAAGAAGCCAATGACATCCTCAACAACCTGAAAGGTACAAAAGGCTGAGATAACAGAGTAAATGTGTAGTTTCCTCCACTAGGGTGATTTTCTTTTTTTTTTAATCATAATTTTATGACACTTATTACATCATTCCCAACACCCTCCTTTTTTTAAATCCTAAAATATTTCAGAGAGAAATCCTAGCTGGGCGCAGTAGCTCATACCTATAATCCCAACACTTTGGGAGGTGGAGGCAAGAGGATTGCCTGAGCCCAGGGGTTCGAGACCAGCCAAATTTGGCGAGACCTCATCTCTACAATAAATAAAAATATTAGCCGGGTGTGGTGCCATGTGCCTGTAGTCCCAGCTACTTGGAAGGCTATGGTGGAAGGATCACCTGAGCCAGCAGTTCAAGGCTACAGTGACCATGAGGATACCATTGCACTCAAGCCTGGGTGACAGAGTGAGACTCGGACTCAAAAACAAAGAGAATTCCCAGAGAGCATATTACCTTTTATCCCTGCATGCTTCAGTATGAAAACAACAAAAGAAGACATTTTCTTATGTTAGGGTAACTCATGTAACCACGCACGTATTTAGTTGACTTATGTTGGTAAATGGAGATTATCTTTCATTTCTCTGCCAATAGCATCTAATTCTTTGTGTTTTCTTTTTTCACCCCAAATAGAAGTATATCCAATTCACTGAGTAGCTCTGGATTCACTCTGATAGAACAGTCATAAGTTCTATAAATATGGAAATTTTATAGGATAATAGTTGAAGGTATGAGCTGCAGTGTCAAGTAGGCCTTAGTTCAAAACCCTGCACTGCAAATTGTCTAACTTCTTTAATCATCGGTTTTCTTATGTATAAAAATGATATAACCTGTGTATCAGGGACATAAAACTCTTAACTTAGTACCAGATGTACAGTATACACTAAATAAATTGTAGCTTTGATACTGGTTGAGGTATAATAAATGGCCTGCCCAGGAACTCTGCATTAAAGCAAAGTTTTCAAGTGGAAATTCCCTTTCTAGAAACAGAAGTACGTTTGTATGTAGAGACATGTACTGTGCTCTTCTGAGATTTCAGCCCATGCTGTTTTCCATTTTTCCCCAACTTTCATTGTTTGTAAAACAAAATACAGTTGCAGTTCCCTGAAAGGTCTCTTTTTTGCTATTGGAAGTTTAGTTCACATATGTTTCCTTGAACTCTGTTTAGATTTCGATCGACGTGTGAACGACAACAAGACGGCTGCAGAGGAGGCACTAAAGAAGATTCCTGCCATCAACCAGACCATCACAGAAGCCAATGAAAAGACGCGGGAGGCACAGCTGGCACTGGGCAATGCTGCAGCAGATGCCACAGAGGCCAAGAACAAGGCACATGAGGCAGAGAGCATCGCGAGCGCCGTCCAGCAGGTGTGTGCTATCTTTTCTGTGAGACAGTCTCTGCTTGTGCATTTCTGTGGTCACTTGCCAGTTTCTTTTCAGATCCCTAAAACTCTTACAGGTTTTTTCCTTGGCTCCAGTAAAACTGTCTTGAACCATACTTGCCTTTCATTTTTTTAAAAACTAGGTATTATAATAAGTAATCACATTGATTAAGGAGGGGGAATCTATAAAAAAGGACTTTAGTCTAAAATTTCTACTATGTCTCAGCGTAGGGTTTGTGATATTAGTAAGAGGGATAGCTTCAGAGGGCTATAGGGTTTTTTTCCCACACACAAAATCAGACTCTTTCTAAATAAACGTACGTATTTGACCTGGGCAGCTGCCTTTATTCTCATTACATAAATTGCCTTATCATCACAGTTTTCAACCTCTTCTTCAAGCACTTTGGCATTTCTAAGCCACTCCTCTAGAGACTTTTTGTCTGACTAACTGCCACTGCTAGGATTCTTTATACTCATCTTAGAGAATAATTTCTTAGGCTGACTGTTTCCTATTTTAAGATCAATCTTTTTGCTTTATTTAAAGGAGAGATCAGAGCAGTTCTAAAACTAGGTATTTAAGAATCACAAATTTCTTAGTTTCTTTGGAACAGTTGGCTTTTGGATTAATTATATTTTATAAAATACTCACAAATTAGGATTGTGGTCTTTCTTTATATTGTGGTAAACTGCCATGACCAAGCTAGCTTTGAATTAAAAATTGATCCAAGTGAAAGTATCCAATTAATATAATGTGGTATAAGTGTACACTATAAAGTGTTTATCATTTTGTTAGCTATGTAACCTCATCTAAAAATGACATTAATAGAATAGAAAGTTTCTGGGATGAAAGAAGAGGATACAGTGAAAGTGCTTTAGAAAACATAAAATGCTCTTATGTTGGGTAGTAATGTTATTTTTTATTTACTGTTAAAATTTAGAGCTAAACTAAATAATAATATAAGTCATGAAATAGCATAATTCAATGTAGTATTCTTTCTGGACTTAATTTTTGAGGCATTTTACAAATTATAAAAGGAGTAGAAGCATACTTTAGAAAAAGAAAAGCTTTTATTTTTATGTTTTAATTAACAGTTTGCATATTTTATGCCTAGAATGCTACCAGCACCAAGGCAGAAGCTGAAAGAACTTTTGCAGAAGTTACAGATCTGGATAATGAGGTGAACAATATGTTGAAGCAGCTACAAGAAGCAGAAAAAGAGCTGAAGAAAAAACAAGATGACGCTGACCAGGATATGATGATGGCAGGGATGGTAAGAGTTCTTGACATATTTGTTTGTAGGCAGAAGGTAAGGGGTGCTTAATAATAAAGATCCCCAGCTTGTTGAGAAGACTCTCGTCACATTTTCTGGTCAAGAATTGGGTTAGTAGCTTACATAAAAAACCAAGAATCTGAATCTCTTGCCAGATATTTTTGTTGCACAATTGTGCTGTCCCAAAACTACTCTCCATTAAAAGCAAACACTGTTTTATACATTTGAGATTTATGATATTAGAAAGTATGTATCTGTATTTTTCAACAGGTAATGTATAAGTGGTATAAAATAAAAAAGGAACAAAAGCACTGCAGTGGAAAGTTAATTTCCTTCCTTTTCTTGTTCTCCCAGCAACTTGTTCCTTAAAGTCAAAGAACAGTTTCTTGTATATAAGAAATGTTTGAAGATAGCATTGTCCCCCACCCCACCAAAAAATACCAGACATAAATCCAGTTTAATTTTTTACCTTTTGTGATGATGTGTATACATAGCACTATTGATAACAAAATTAACTTGTGAATGTAGGGCCCAGGAAAGAGCTATAGTCTTTTGCTGTTCTGTGCTATATTTTGCTTTGGAAAGACTTTAGTGGAGTCATAATGGGATTGTTCCTTTCCAGTACAGTGTAACAATCACAGTAATGACATGCCTGAACTTGTTCTTCGTGTACTTGCAGTGCAAGGAAGAAGTCCTTTCTTTCACTGCTGCTGAAAAACAGGGCCCCTCATTGTGAGTCATTTTTACCTTGAAAGGAAAGAAGTACAGGGCCTATGGATCTCAGTAAAGAAGACTCTAAAGAAGTTGGAAACAGGAAGTCTCCTTGTGCAAACACCTGATTTTACTCCTCTTTTTGTGTTTTTTGTTTGTTTGAATTGTTCTAGTTTTCTGTGGTACAGTGTGTCTCAAGTGGAAATTCCCATACAGTAAAAATAGATATTTCTTATATGGATTTTATTCTTTTTTTTCCTTTTTTTTTTTTTGAGTTGGAGTCTCATTCCATCGCCCAGGCTGGAGTGCAGTAGCACACACGCTCAACGGCCTCCCTAGCGTCGGCCTGCTGGGCTCTGGCGACCCTTCTTCCTCAGTCTTCCAAGTAGCTGGAACTACAGGCGTATGCTACCACGTCCAGCTTTTTTTTTTTTTTTTTTTATTGTAGAGACAAGGTCTTGCCAAGTTGCCTGGGCTCATCTCGAACCCACGGGCTTAGGCAATCCATTCACCTTGGCCTCCCAAAGGGCTGGGCTTACAGGCTGAGTCATGAGCCTGGCTGGTTTCATTCTTAATATGATTATAGAAACATTAGGTTTAGATTCTGTTGAAAATGAAAAGGATATATTCTTCATGAACTTCAAGAAAGGGTTTGGATTTAATTCAAAGGTTGGAAAGAAGAGCTTGTTATTCTTGGTAAATAGCTTCTAAAGAAACAAATCACCCGCACATAAGTGATCCTATCTGTATTTATATCAGTTCTGAAAGGCCAGCATTTGATCAGTATTGTTTGAGGGAAGACTCATGGCTGTTCGTGGAAGGGGAAGCTGGAGATCACAGGTTAAATGCAGAGGCATTGTCCTGGGCAGGCCCTAGTCAAGTCCTTTCTTCCTTTCTCCTAGTGTCCTAGCAGGCAAGCCTGTGAAGGCTCCAGAAGAACAGCTGTGATTTGAGCAGAGATTAATCATTTATTTGTGAAGGCTTTTTGCCTGGATTTCTTTTTTCTTCCTAAAATTTCCACATTGTTTTGATCCCAAAGTTTTTGTGTTGTCTCAACCAAAAACTAGGAAAAACAATTATGTGGTAGGAAGCTCAAAGCCACTCATTTATATCCTGACTAAATTTATTTGTGAGAGCATCTGTTTTCTGATATTTAGACACTTCCTCTTCCATTACTGTTTCCTGTGACTCATGCACAGTGTATTTGTTCAGGTTTCATGGAATTTCCCAAATATATTTACCTTTGGTTGATTCCTGAAATGTAAATTATATTGCCCCAATAAATGAATGTGTTGGGGCGGAGGGGTTGTGGCTGGGTGACTGAATGGGTGGGAGATTTTACAAAAGAGCTTCACTTGATTATGAAAGTTTTCTAAGAATAGGACATTTCTAACAAGTCCCTGAGAGAGTCCTGAAGGATGTGTTTTGATTCTAAAATGTAGTTTCAATCCTCATCCTTTAAAAATAACTTGTCTTGTTTGGTGGATGGTGTTATAAATACACCTTCATGTATTCTGGAGTGAGAAAGTAAGAAAAGGAGATGCTGTTGATCTTTGAAATACAGATATGGTGAGTGTAAGCATACAGATGACCTAGTCATAACTGTTACGCGAAGTGGAAACAGCAACATCCACAACATGAAGATGTGCCTCCCCAAAACAAAATCCTGCAGAGAGTTGATAATTTCATGAGTTGGGAAAAGGGAAAACGTCTGACTCTTACATTTGTTGGCTCATTGGGGAAAAAATATTTAGAGAAGATGAAGACATATAATTGGGATTATTTGTATCATTTATCCTTTTCCCCCCACAGGCTTCACAGGCTGCTCAAGAAGCTGAGATCAATGCCAGAAAGGCCAAAAACTCTGTTACCAGCCTTCTCAACATCATCAATGATCTCTTGGAGCAGCTGGGTAAGCAGCCAGAGTCCTGCAGTTAATCTCTGAATCCTTTGCTCTGTTTTTGGGACTTGACGCAGTATAGCTCAAAAGCAGGAGGCTGGGTGCATTAGCTCACTCCTGTAATCTCAGCACTTTGGGAGTCCAAGATGGGCAGATTGAGCCCAGGAGTTCAAGACCAACCTGTGCAATGTTGCAAAACCTCTTGTGTACAAAAAACCAAAAAAATTTAGCAGGATGTGGTGGCATGTGCCTGTAGTCCCAGCTACTCAGGATGCTGAGGTGGAAGGAGCCTGCCTGAACCCAAGAGGTTGAGGCTGCCATGGCCATGATCACTGTGATCATGCCACTCACTGTGCTCTAGTCTGGGCAACAGAGTGAGATGCCAACTCAAAAAAAAAAAAAAAGGCAGATAATAGAGGTTTACTGAAGCCCCTTTAAGTCATCCATTAAATTATTAATATTTATTTAAGCTCTTGCTTATTTGAAAGTACCTTATTAAATGTGTCTTGCATGTGTTGCCTTTAAGAGCAACTTGCTTTATTACAATATTGATATATTCATCAACTTTAGCATGTGACCGGAATCATGACTCTGGGTTGTATTAATTTGGCAAGTATTTGCTAGGTGCCTTCTGTGGACCGGGCCCTAAATAGAATACTGTGGTCTGGGGACTTTCTTTTTATATTTTGAAGATCTAGTACCAGAGAGGGTGGTCTAGGATCATGGTGGTCAACCAACTAGACAGTAATTTTTCTTAGCTCATCTTGCTGGCAGAGGGTGTCTTTAAGGGATTTAAACTGAAGAATTTCAATGATAGAATAAAAGAATTCCTAAAACGGATCATGACTTCACTGCCTGGGATTCTCTTCATTTGCTAACTAAAGGACAGTTGGATAAGGGGAAAGCTTTTATGCTAAGAGAAAAACCTTGCTTTTGCAAGAATGTAAGCATCCTTTTAAAACAGTTTGCTAGGAAGCAAGTTCATTTTAGGATGGATATACTTTAGTCACCAGATTCCATTATAAGGTGTCAGTACTTTAGCCAAGATTCTTTGTAGCAAGGCCTCATATTTTAATTTGCTAGCTTTTGAATATTGGTGTGTTTTTGGAGGGGGGAGGGATGCTGAGGAGTTATTTTTTAATCTGTCTCAGATGTCAAAAATAATAAGTTATATGCCAGCAGATGGATTTAAAATGAAAGTAAGCTAGAGAAGAATGCTTTTTGTGGAAGAAAGAGCTAGACTTTAAAGTTAGTCAGAGTTGGGCTAGAATCTTGGCTTTGTTGCCTACAGGCTTTCCAAATTTGGGGAAATTATTTAACATCTGAGAATCACTGATTTAAAATGCTCTTGCAAGACCTTAATCAAGTAGAGTATATATAAAGTGCTGTTCATTGGGTCTACTTTTGTTTATTAATACGGAAGCAGTTTCTTTTTAAAAAAAACAAACCTCTTTTTCTTGTTAAGCTTAAAGTGAAGCTTTGCTAAAATAATTTAGCATCTCAACTTTGGCCATTTTCCTTGGCCTAGGAAAGCTCCTCATAGTTTCTAACTCCTGAAAGCAGAAAGCAATCCCCCAAACCAATTCATTTTTCCTTGGAATCTGTCAAAGAGCTGAAGACTTAGGGAGCTATCTTAGAGATTTGTATATCCTTTGATAGCACAAAAATGACACACAGATTATGTATATAAACCTAAAAAATGTATTCAGTGTTATCAGATGACCTTCAAAACCACAAGTGAGGCTGCGCACGGTGACTCAGCCTTTAATCCTAGCGCTTTGGGAGGCCGAGGTGAGAGGATTGCCTGAGCCTGCGCAGGTTCCATCACAAAAATTAGCCGGACGTGGTGGTATGCACCTGTAGTTCCAGCTACTTGGAAGGCTGAGGCTGAAGGATCACCTAAATCTAGCAGGTAGAGGCTGCAGTGGCTGTGAGTGTGCCGCTGCACTCCAGCCTGGTGATGAGAGTGAGACTCCAACTCAAAAAAAAAAAAAAAAGAAACCCACAAGTGAAGCTTAAGATCCAGCATGGTAGCTGTTAATTTAGAAAGCATTCTGCAAAAATCATTGTCCCAGAAAAAAAAAACACCCATCCCAATCAATATTGGTTGTGTGCTGTGGCTCCTCCCTGCTGGGTTAGGTCAGCGTTTATATTTGGTCGTGTTGTTTATATGCCTTTGTACAAGTAAAATTCTTACTGAACGCATCTGTTCTCCTCTCTGTACTTTCTGACACTACAGGGCAGCTGGAGACAGTGGACCTGAACAAACTAAACGAGATTGAAGGCACCCTGAACAAAGCCAAAGAAGAAATGAAGGTCAGCGATCTTGATAGGAAAGTGTCTGACCTGGAGAATGAAGCCAGGAAGCAGGAGGCTGCCATCATGGACTATAACCGTGATATTGATGAGATCTTGAAGGACATTCGCAATCTGGAAGACATCAAGAAGACCTTACCATCCGGCTGCTTCAACACCCCGTCCATTGAGAAGCCCTAGCATCTTTAGGGCTGGAAGGCAGCGTTCCTCTGCCAGGGGAGCAGTTGTGAGGCCACAGAGTGCCTTGACGCAAAGATTACATTGTTCAGACCCCCACTTCTCTGCTGCTCTCCATCACTGTCCTTTTGAACCAGGAAAAGTCACAAAGTTAAAAGAGAAGCAAATTAAACATCCTGAATCGGGAACAAAGGGTTTTATCTAATAAAAGTCTCTCTTCCACTCACGTTGCTACCCTACCCACACTTTCCCTTCTGGTTTGCGTGAGGACATGGCATCCTGCATTACGGTGCAGTGGTATAAGCACATCGCGTGAGCCCTCGTAGGCCAGGCCAGGGCAGGGCAGGTGGCCCTCCCTCTCCACACCAGCAGAACCTCCTCAGTCTCAGTACTCTGTTTCTATGAAGGAAAAGTCTGGCTACTCCTGGTAGCATTGTGATGGCCAGTATATCCAGTCCATGGATAAAGAAAATGCATCTGCGTCTCCTGCCCCTCTTCCTTCTAAGCAAAAGGAAATAAACATCCTGTGCCAAAGGTATTGGTCATTTAGAATGTCAGTAGCCATCTATCAGTTGTCTTAGGTCTTTTGAGTATAGGACACTGAGCCATCCACGGGTAAGGATACAATTACTGATGAAAGTCTTCAGGTGAACTTGGCTGAAATAGGCTGAAGATTTTCTTGTATATTAATCATTGTCTAGGAAGATAAACTTTTTTCAGGTTTTTGGGCAGCTGATAATTTGACTCTGGATGGGCGGCTTGCACTCACCAATAGACATCTTTTGATATTCTCTTAAATGGAACTCACACAGAAGAAATAGGGATATGATAACCACTAAAGTTTTTTTTTTTTTTTTCAAAATCAAACTAATTCTTAGAGTTTTTTTGTTAGGTTACTTTTGGAACTAGTGTTACCTGCAGAGAACATTTAGTTCCTAAGATCTTGACAAAACAAACCTCCTTGTCCTAGTCTTTTCTAGCGAAGGGATTATACTTAGATATAGCTTTGTACTGTCAGGATCCTGTATATCCGTTTTTCCTTCTGTTGGAGAGAGATGAAATATATGACCCTTAGCTCTGGTTTTCTTCTGATGTTCCCATCTTCTAGAATCCCTCAAACCACATTGTTGTTTGCCAAATCCTGGTGGCAAATACTTGCACTCAGTATTGTACGCAGCTGCCGGCACCATCTAGTTCCTGCACTTTGTGATTTAAACCCACTCTAACCCTTTCCTCTAGGTGTAGAGGGAAGACCCTTATATGGAGTTTCCTAGTGGGCTTCTCAACTTTCGATCCTCAGCTCTGTGGTTGTGTTTTAAGACCACAGTGTGACAGTTCCCTGCCACACACCCCGTTCCTCCTACCAACCCGCCTTTGAGATTCATATATAACCTTTAACACTATGCAACTTTGTACTTTGCGTAGCGGGGGAAAAAAACTATTATCTGACACACTGGTGCTATTAATTATTTCAAATTTATATTTTTGTGTGAATGTTGTTTTGTTTATCATGATTATAGAGTAAGGAATTTATGTAAATATACTTGGTCCTGTTTCTAGAATGGCACTGTTCACTTCTCTTTGTTTTCCCTCTTCACTGGCACAGCGTATCTGAATACCTCCTCCTTCCAGGGGTTGTATTGTTCCCCGTGGCTCTGCGTTCTACCTTGTGTTTGCAGCATCTCCATTCTCTAACACCAGCTTCATTTCCTTTCTTCCACACCCAGCCACTGTAGAGCGGTAAATCGGCCCTCCTCCATTGCAGTCCTGATGGTGCTCACCTGTCGCACGATACCATTCTTAATGTTCCAGAGCAGGAATACCAGGCTGACAGGATGTGGCGGGATTAGGAAAGTTTGCTGAAGAGGCTCTTTCCCACCATTGTGGGTTTAGCCAGGAATGATTAAGAAGTGCCCTTTCTGGCAATTATTGGAGCTAGGTGGGTCAATTTTATAAGGGAGTGCTTTCTGACTGAGCACTTTGAGGGCATAAGGAACAGTGCCACAGATGGGCAGCCAGAGAGAGGTGGCATCACTCCACTCCTAGTGATCCCATGTTCCGTTTCCATCCCCCTGGGGCCTGCCAGAGCTCACTACAAGTGTTCTGTTGTGGTGTGCCCGTTGGCTATCACTCCGCTGCTTCTCCCAGGCCTCTTCCACTGTTCAGAAGGCGCGGCTCCTTTTTGCCAAGTTTTCCCATCAGTGTGTCTTGGCTAGTTCCTCAAGTGGCCACATCCTCACATGAGCATTTTGGTCAAGGTTGCAGGAAGAGGACTGAAGATCAACTGCCAAGCTCGTTTGAGTCAAGTTTACTCCAGCAAGTCTTAGGCCATGCTGGGGTGGTTTAGTTTGATTTGGTTTGGGGTTTTTTTTTCCTTCTCCATCTGTGTGGTATGTTTTTAAACAGAATTTTATTTTTAAAATAAAAATTCTCTACAAGACGATACCTTAGTTACACTCCTGCAATACAGCCATTATTTTATTGTCTAGTTGCGATTATCTGTATTTCATGTAATAATAAACCGACAGAATGGCTGCTGCAGAATGCTGGGTGACTCGGGGAGTATGTACTGCTGTTCTTCCCTGGAACTTCTTGGAATCCCAACTGTGGCCTTTTTATGTGTGCCTTCACTATAGCTGTTTGCCTTAATCTCTACAGTCTTGCTCTCCAGGGTGGTTAATAAAATGCAACACTTGGCATTTTTTTATGTTTTAAGAAAAACAGTATTTTATTTATAATAAAATCTGAATATTTGTAACCCTTGATATTTTGTGTGGCCTGAGTGTGGTACTAGGGGCATGAGATGTTTTATGGAAAACTGCTCATAATGTCTTTGGGTGCTTTCTTGAGAACAGTATGTTTTTATTTTTTCACCTTCCTCAAATGATACTTCAGTGTAATCCGGTGTAATGCAAGCATTTTACATGAGGAGCTAGACAGTGTTTTAGACTTTGCAAGCCATACACTCTCTGTTAACATTCAGCTCTATTGTAGCCCCAAATCAGCCTCAGACTATGTATAAACAAATGAGCATGGCCGTGTTCCAATAAGACTGTTTACAAAAACAGGCCATGGACCTGTGGTCTGTAGTTTACTGGGCCCTTGGTGGTGTCCCAGTACTTGATTAATCACAGCTGAGCTACTTTTAGATTATGTGAACTTCCTAAATTAGCAGATGTGTGTTAAAAGTTGTCATTCCACCTTTCAGTACACACGTGTCTTCAGCTAAGGTAGTTTCTTCAGATGATGAGAAACTCTCAAGCCTTTGATGGAATAAAAAGTAAGTAATGTGCTGCACTGACAGTCAGAAGCTAACCCTGTCTGAGGGGGCCCACCTGTAGCGACCAGAGACCAGGTAAGGTGGATTGGAGCCCACATATGTTCTGAAGAAATGCCTGGTTAGATGACCTCTGCTCTGGCCCTGCAAAGGTCTTCTCTTGACTCTCTGATGCCCTGTGTTTTGCCCTTGGGCCCCGTGGTTTCCAAGCCAACTTCCCAGTCTTATAATTCGTTTTAACTGGAACCTGCAAAAGAGAACCTGAACTCATCCAACTTCCTCAAAGAAAGCTTTAGAGGGAACTAGTGGCTCGCTTTCTTGCATATTCTATTCTTAATCTTTGTCTAGGACGTTCCCCATTTTGTAAGATCTTATTCAGATACAGCTGATTCTCTTTAAATTACTGTGTCAGAGTGGTGGGTATAGTTTTAAAACGTTGCTCCTGGTCCACCCCTGGGTTTCAAAAGTTGTTGCCAGCATAATCTGAGTCAAAGTAACTTAAAGGCTTACTCTTTAAATAAACATTCTAGCCCCTCAGTAGATCTGAACTCAGCGACTCCGCTTCCATTAAGCTCCAAATGGAATGAAGAGGACCCTGGCACCCAGGAGGGTCATGAGGTAGAAAAGCAAGTGGTACCTTCATAGAGTAAAGAAGGAAGGAGCCAGGAAAGATGAGCTCTCTCCAGACCCAGAGATTATAGAACCAGACATGAGAGAATGAGACATGGCAGACAGTCTTGCCTGTTCACACTCAGCAGGTTTAAATAAAGTATTACTAGTTAGAGCGAAAATAAGCAGTTTTCTAGTGAGTTATGTGCAGAGGTCCACTAGTTCTGGAGAGCTGTGGCCAACGATGGTGCCTTCATACTGACTCACCTAGAAGGAGCACACACGTTATACACAGTGAGTGATGTTCTGTATAATGAAAATCAGGTACATGCTTAAGAAAGGGGGAAGTTTTTAGAAAAAGTTCATTGAAAAGCCTAAAATCCTGGTTTGTTTGAAATTCAAATATGAGAACCACCAGCATTGCAAGTATGATGACACCTGTCTTCACTTTTATTCCTCTCTGCCTTGAATGTGCTTTCTCTCCCCAGTATGCTAAAGCCTGAGGTCAAGGTGTCAGCTTCTCTGCCTACCACTCCTCCCAGCCTTGCGCTGGCACTTAGAATGGCCCTTGGGCACTTGCTTATTTTTCAGGTGTGAGCCACCCATCTTTCCCTCGCACTTTGCTCCTACTTCTTTGCCCCCCATCTTCAGGGCTAGGAGGCATGTGGTCATCACTCAGGCTGTAAGATGGTGCAAAGGTCTTCAGCTTCTCTCATCCACCTGTTCTCCCATGCTTATTGCTTTTTGGCTGTTCAGGAGAGTGTTATAGACACTTGTTAATGCACCCTCACCTTCCAGCAGCATTCAGCTCCCTCAACACCCCCACTTGGGCATGAATTGGACTCCTTTTTTTCCCCCCCGAATTAAAGTCTCACTTTGTTGCCCTGGCTGGAGTGCAGTGGCACATTCATGGCCACCGCAGCCTCGACCTGCTGGACTCAGTGATCCTTCTTTGCGTGATGATAAGCAAAGCCAATCTCTTGCATTTAATGGCCCAGCACACACCACACACACTGCCGTGTGGTCAACCGCCAACTAGAACCATCTGATCCACAGGACCCGTTCCCTTGGTCCCTGGCCTCACCCTCACTGCTCCCGATGCTGAACGTTTGTATCTGTGGGTTTTGTCTACAACCTTTCAAGTCATAGCATTAATTTCCTTTCTTTGTCTTTAACTTCTAGAAATGATCTCAGTAAATTTCGCCCAGTTAGTTTTTTCCTGTTTGCATGTGTACCTTATGGCCTATATTAATTACAAGGTATTATTTGTGATTAATTTGGTATAGTTTATTTCTATAAAAATCTGAGCATCAGGGTCGTGGTCTAGACTGTATTATTACATCATTGTTCCCTTGAGTAAGTACATATTCATTTAAGTGAATGAAATGTGCCTGGTTATACCTTTGAAGACAACCCTTCCATCTTCCCATAACCCTTTCTCACCATGGCTAGAAACAAAAAAAATTCAACTTGAACCTCAGACCAGCGCCTTTTTGGGCCCATAACATGGTGCTGCTCTAATACTGAGATCCTTATCATTTCAGGACCTAAATGCAGCCATCACGTTTCTGTTAAAGAATTTGTAGTGCAATTCCATTCTGAATAGTCAGTGCCTGTCTAGGATATACCATCCTGATTTCCTTACCCATTTG